AAATTTTTGTGAATTGACAATTATAAATAATTTTTATGATGTTTACTAGGTGGTGGAGGAGGTGGATTTTACAGCAATGGAAGAAGTAGTAAACAGTTTGGTGGAAAGTATGGAAATGAAGGAGAAAGAGGTTTTTCTTTTATAAATGGAGGAGCAGGAGGACGTGCCTGGTATAACAATGCCGTTGGTGGATTTGGAGGTGGTGGTGGAGCATATGGTAATGATGGAGGAGCAGGTGGATGAGGTGGTTACTCAGGTGGAGCATCTGGAGAAAATATATCCGGATCTTATCCTGGTGGAGGTGTATCTTATAATGGAGGAAAAAATGTGAACAAGTCAGCTTGTAATGACAAAGGAGACGGATATGTCATTATCACTCGAAAGAGGTAGATGAAATCATCTTAAAGTTGTGTACTTTTTTTTAAAAACACTTTAGTATCTAGTTGTATAGTTTAGAACTGTTCAAAACAATATTTTTCAAAATAATAGTTTGCCTATCTGTTAAGACACAAATTGTGGTAGTCAACATGAATTAGACCGATATTTACTTATATATATAAATACGAGTAAATTTTTGTGAATTGACAATTTTAAATAATTTTTATGATGTTTACTAGGTGGTGGAGGAGGTGGATTTTACAGCAATGGAGGAAGTAGTAAACAGCTTGGTGGAAAGTATGGAAATGAAGGAGAAAGAGGTTTTTCTTTTATAAATGGAGGAGCAGGAGGACTTGCCTGGTATAACAATGCCGTTGGTGGATTTGGAGGTGGTGGTGGAGCATATGGTAATGATGGTGGAGCAGGTGGATGAGGTGGTTACTCAGGTGGAGCATCTGGAGAAAATGTATGTGGATCTTATCCTGGTGGAGGTGGATCTTATTATGGAGGAAAAAATGTGAACAAGTCAGCTTGTAATGACAAAGGAGACGGATATGTCATTATCACTCGAAAGAGGTAGATGAAATCATCTTAAAGTTGTGTACTTTTTTTTAAAAACACTTTAGTATCTAGTTGTATAGTTTAGAACTGTTCAAAACAACATTTTTCAAAATAATAGTTTGCCTATCTGTTAAGACACAAATTGTGGTAGTCAACGTGAATTAGACCGATATTTACTTATATCTATAAATACGAGTAAATTTTTGTGAATTGACAATTATAAATAATTTTTATGATGTTTACTAGGTGGTGGAGGAGGTGGATTTTACAGCAATGGAAGAAGTAGTAAACAGTTTGGTGGAAAGTATGGAAATGAAGGAGAAAAAGGTTTTTCTTTTATAAATGGAGGAGCAGGAGGACGTGCCAGGTATAACAATGCCGTTGGTGGATTTGGAGGTAGTGGTGGAGCATATGGTGATGGTGGAAGAGCAGGTGGAGGTGGGGGCTACTCAGGTGGAGCATCCAGATAAAATACGTCCGGTTCTTGTGCTGGTGGAGGTGGATCTTATAATGCAGGAAAAAATCAAGTGAGCAAGTCAGCTTTTAATCACAATGGAGACGGATATGTCGTTATCACTCGAAAGGGGTAGATTAAATCATCTTAAAGTTGTGAATTTTTTGGTAAAAACACTTTAGTATCTTGTTGTATAGGTTAGAACTGTAAAGATAACAATTTTTGAAATAATAGTTTGCCTATCTGTTAAGACACAAATTGTGGTAGTCGACGTGAATCAGCGCGATAGTTTCCTATATCTATAAAAACGAGTAAAATTTTTTCGTAGTGACAACATTGTTGTCAAACTACAATTTTTATGTAATAAGACTTTATAGTTGCATCAGGGGTGAGTTTTTATATTCTCCAATGCCATAGTCTAAATTTTGATTGTGAACCTACTCTTTCAATAAATATTTTCAAACCTTAGCTGGTTATAAAAATCAAGCCTGTTTTGCAGTCTGTATTTTGGATAATGTCAATGAGGAATTTTATGATATTTTCTGAATCATTCAATTCGCGCCGTAGTTTTTGAAAGACATAAATGAGTAAGGGCTTTTAAGAAAACATAGGTACGAGTGCGTACATGTGGATAGCCCTGCCCTTATTTCAGGTTAAATGGTGTGTTTCATACTATACAACTTGATACCTTAAGAAGAGAAATTTAAAATGCTCTCTGTAGCTTTAAATCTACACAATTTGTACCTATCTAAAACATAATTTATTTATACTGGTAATATAAACAAATGTTCAGCTATTTTGAATATTTTGCTATTTCAACATGGTATATGTATAATTGACAAAATGATACAGGTACTGTATTAAGCAGTCCCTTTGTGTTAAGCCGTCACCTGCTATGGCTTCAGAAAAATTCATAATGCTTTTATCGTAAGAGAAACCTTTATATATTGAAAGGTTAAATTAGTTACAGTACGTTTATGCTGTTAGCCTGAGTTAGGTCAGTTTTATAAAAAAGTAGTCAGTGCTAGCTGTAGTTAAAAGGTAGTTAAAGTTAGCTAGTTAGCATCGCTATCTTTACAAATATCAAGTTTACACAATCTAATATATACAGCCATCTTTAGAACTTATAGTTCAAATTGTCTTATTTAAATTCAACAAATTCAATAAGAGGAAATCTATTTGATAGAATACTATAATTAGTGAAAAACACTGCGCTTATTCACAAAGAACTGTCGTCAATTATTGGTGTTAAGATTAATATAAACTCAAATCTATCCTTAATTGATGAAGATTATAAAAAAAAACAGAGTAAAAAAAACTTAAATAACCCATGATTTTAAAGCTGAGCGTATGTGTTTGCGTTTAGATTGACAAAAAGATTGACAAAGGCTTTATTTGTCTAAACAACATGCACAATATTTTCACCCCTATATGTTTCAAATGCTCTTTAGCTTTGCCGTTTTCGTGAGCAAGATATTTTAAATTGCACTTTTAATTTAGCATGAGAGAGAAATCACAATGTCAGTGTCTATAATTGGATGCATATGAGTTTGGATTCACTTTAATCGTTGATGTTGGCGTATGCTAAATTTGACTTTTGAGGCAACCCGCCTTCTTCCTGTTTCGCTGTTTTTCATTATTTTTGAAGTTTTATCAATGACCTGCTTCAACACAACAAAAATGGCTTACATACATTTTTTTTCAGCCGTTAAGTATCCTGGCAACCTTAAGTGTTTGCTTTAAGTCGACAACCTTTTACGTCCTCCCCATAGGCGTCCTAGAAATCCGTTTGAGTTTTTTATACAATCGATTTATGTATTGAACACCAATTCTTATTCATGTGCAATATGTTTGTTTAACTTCTATGTCTAACTTTTTATGGTCTAAGCAGTCTTTTATTTTGACAAGGAAGGAAACTTTAAACACAAAATTTACAAGAATGATCGACAGGATATTTGACATTCTTAATTAAAGATCTCCTCAGGCAAGAGATACAAGCAACTTCTGAAAAGAAAATCTGAGGACACATGGGTGTCATATGAAGAGAACTAAAGTCAAGAATGGACATGACATAAAAACTCAAGCAAAAACCTACACAGTAAAATAATCATGGAAGTCTGTCATCATTACCGACAAATCAAGTCATTTAAACATCTTTCATGATCATACTCCTGAGTTGACCAATGACCCTGATGAAGACCACAAGATGAAATTGATTACGTACACTGCCAACAAGTATATCACCCTTCGGCTCTTTAAATACAGCAAGCGTTTTAATGAAACCGTTATATTCAAAATGGACAAGTGAGTTACAGATTCCAGTTAACTAAATTGATTTTGTTTTAAATCCAACAAAATTTTATGAACTGTACAGTATGTAAACTGTTTCCGAGGACGTCTTTATGGTTTCCTGTAAGTTTGAATTATATCGCTTGAAATAGCATTGATGGTTAATTGTCATTTCCTTGCAATTTTTCTTTTGTTTCTTTTCCTATATCCTTATAATATTTAACAGCTCATAGTAATGAATAAATAATACTAAAAATACACTAAAAAGAACCAAATAATTCCTTGTACCTGGAATAATTTTTGCCGTCAAATAATCACTCGGCGCACGTTATCAGGAGGGAAAGTAAATGTTATTGTGCTCAAGCTGGCTTCAACCAATAATGATTAAAGTATGGCAGTTAGCATTCCAGGTATTTTTAATTCAACAAATGGATCACAGTCCAAAATGCGCAATCTTATAGTCAAATATAAAATGTAAACAAGCGTCTTGAAAAAAAAGCAAAACGAAAAGAAATGAAACAAAGAGTTTAATTATGCGGACGATACAAATTAAAAATGATTTATTTTTACTGACAAAAACTAGAAAAATGAAAGCCAACCCTTACAAAACAGCAAGGAAGAGAAAGAAAGCAAGCTTTGTTTTCGGTCAAATAATGCCGTACATAATAAACATTTTAATAACCTCGCTTTTACGATCTTTACTTTACTACGCACTGGGTTGGTGCAAAAAGAACTCGGTCCTCGAGCTCAGTTATTAAGGACTTGATATATATGAAAAAATTTCTCAATTCTGGCTAGCTCGTATATTACAATTCCATTAGAAGTTACTTTTCATAACACCATAGCTTTCACACACGCAGCTAGAACAAGGTAACTACTTTTGGCAGTGTTCATATTTTTTTCCAAACTCGTCTTGCAAACGGTGAATTGAAAGCTTTTCACCAAAGATAATTTACTTAACTTGCGCAAGCCATTGCATTTGCTTTGCTTACTTTAATTTAACTTTCATACCTTTGAAATGTTTTATTTTGTTTGACTCTTACATCACTTCTTTCTCTGATTAACCAATAAGGAGCAAATTTTTTGAAAAAAATTGCACTGTATTTCCTTTTTTCTGCAGCGAGTTTCTTATTTTTTTCCACTAGTATTTGCACTAAATTGCACTGCTCCTAATTAACCAATAAGAACTGAGAAATTTTTTCATGTATATTATTAAAACGTAAATCAATGAAAACAACCTAATGTTGGCTTCTGAGTTTTACATGAAAATGGCGATAAAAAAATGGACAAATGACCTTTTAATTTTAGTTTAACAATATTAAGCAGCATTTGCACCTTTATGATGAACGTCTTCAGCCAAACGATTTTTCTCGATCTTGCGTAAAGCAGCGGCAAGCTCTTTGTACCACAACTGCTTATTTTCTCTTGATTCAAACCAATGCTGTAGCATTTTAAACCCTTGCCAGTCTACGTCACGATCATTTTGTTCAATTCTTTCTATTGTCGCATCTTTGACCTTCAGAAATATTGCCAATTTCTTCCATTTACCTGGAATTTCTTGGGCAATCTCTAGCAGAATTTCGTTAATTTCTGCAAAAAAAACGCACATTTAAAAGCAAGTAAATAGCATTTTTTACTTTGGAAGAAAATATTGAACATCCTAGATGAACTATATAAATATACATAGGAAGACACTTGTTAAAATACATCAAAGGTATGTCATATTGATTTATGTACAGCTATGGATAACAATATAATGGTGCTTTCAGTAGTAATGTGTCAAAATGCTAGCACCAAATTTATGCGATCTACATTAGAAGTTTTATCAAAGTGCATTTTGCTACAGTGAAATTAATTTGCAATTTTTTGCATGATTTAAACTGCATACGGTACGTAGCTATAAATTATCAGCCAACACTGCTGATTGCCCAACATAAAATTCGAAATAAAGCCATTTTTTAAAAACAAATATTTAGTATTTGTAGCGTTTCTTCTTTACAAAAGACATCATCACACAGGTAAATAAAATGATCAAGTGTGCGTTTATATTTACATATTGGATGTGTAGTAATGAGTGTTGGATTACAGTGAAGTGTGATGAACATGATATATATGTATATAAAAATATTATATAAAGTATGAGTGAAGATACTGATATGGAGTGTGAAATGGACGCAAAACGTAGTGGGATATTTAGAAAAGTTCGAGTGGGATGGAACTGCCTTGGTCATTCAATGTAGGTGTTAGATGTGAGAACAGGAGGCTTTCATGGATCATTAAGTCAGGAGTGTAAGGTGACGATGAGATGATACTGAAATCGTCCGAGGAAGCTGTGATGACTTTTTTCCTGTCAGGTGCGAAATTCCCAGGTGCTCTGATATTCTGGTTTAAAGATGGCTTTGGTTTGACCAACATACGACGCATTGCAGCGTCGACACTTAAATAGATAAACAACACGAGATTTCAGGAACTTAGGAATCTTATCGTTAAAAGGAAAGAAGGAGGAAATGTGTAAAGAAGGACGGAAAACAAATCTAATGTTAACGTGAGGGAAGGCAGCGTTACAGAGGCGGTTAAGTTTTGTGCGTATTTGGAGAGAGTGTGAGCCTAAGTATTGAAGGCAGAAATAGTCGAGCATCTTGGGCACTGTGATAATATGGGGTTTGGGGGAAAAGACGTCGTCGAGGAAGAGGCGAACAGTTTTGTCCAAAAGTTGACAGGGGAAACCATTTGAATCAACCAGTTTTCGAACCATATCTAGTTGATTGTAGAACTTTTCGTAGCTTGTGCAGATGCTAAAAGTACGGTAAATAATGGTAGAGATAAGGCAGCGTTTGTAGGTGAGGGGGATGAAGCTATGGAAATGCGTAAAGAATCCAGTGAATGTGGGTTTCCGGTAAACGGATGTTACGAATTTTCCGTCAGAAAGTGTGATATAATGTCTAGAAAGGGGAGATTGTTATTTTGTTCGGTTTCAGAAGTGAAAGTTATGTTAGGATGTTGTTATTTGAGAAAGTTGTGGAACAGAGGTATGTGATTAGCAGAATGAAAAAGAAGAAAGCAGTCATCAACGTAACGTCTGTACAAGAAGGGTTTGAATAATAAAGGGCAGTTAATTAACCATTTTTGTTCGTGATGTGACATAAAGATGTTAGCAGAAAGTGGTCCTAACGGGCTAACCATTGCAACACCGTCAACTTGTTGGTGCACTTTACCGTCAAAGATGAAATGACAGTTTTTTACATCTAATGTGAGTAGGCTATGTAGTTGGGATCGTGAAAAATTGTTGAATGAGGACGTGTTAGAGAATAAGGTGCTAAGAATGATATCAATTGTTTCGTCCACAGGTATGTTAGTAAAGAGTGACTTTACGTCAAAGCTTGTCATAACAACACTGCGTGAGTTGGTGTTGCTGTTTAAGAGTTCTTGAACAAACGAAAAAGAGTGTTTGATGATTAGAGTGCTGGTTGTGAGTGGAGTGAGCATTGGGACAAAGAATTTAGCGATGTTGTAAGAATAATGGTTGATGGATGAGAGTATGGGTATGAGGGGTCTGGTCAATTTATGAACTTTTGGCACTCCGTATAGAATACCTATTTGGGATCCAGTGGGGTATAGTACCTGATACGTGTTTTTGTTGATAGCGTTTGACGCTAACAGTGTTTTTAAAAGCGATTTCACTTTGCCTTCGAGTTGTAGGGTGATTTTAATGGGATCTTCGTTAAGTAGTTCAAATTTAGTTTTGTCGGAAAGAATACCATCCATTTTCTTGTTGCAGTCTTCTTTATTAAGTATTACTATGCCGTTGGCTTTGTCGGGTTTCATGATGGCGTGGTTGGTGTCATTTTTCAAGTCGTTGAGACAGTCCATTTTATGCATGCGCGTATGCAATACAGCAATACATGCGCGTGCAATATGTAAATATAAACGCACACTTGATCATTTTAATGTCCTGTATGATGATGTCTTGTGTAAAGACGAAACGTTACAAATAATAAGTAATTTCTTAAAAAAATGGTTTTACTTCGAATTTTATGTTGAACAATTGCCTTCTTAACACGAATTCGTTTCTCGCCTGTCAAGTCCCTCGCTACAACACTGATGATGTAAACAATAATTTATTTTTGCATAAAGAATGTGTCATTATGGACTTTGCAGCGAGAAGAATTCCCTAGGTTTTTCAAGAATATGCTATTATTCGGCTCAGTCCTCTATAGAGCCTCTTTATTCCTTGTATTGTCAATTTTACACAACAACTAACCATATTGTAATCATACAACAATAAGCTATAAATGCGCGTGCAGTGTTATGCGCATAACGGTGTTGTGCTTTATAAAATTATTAGAATGATAAAAGAAAACAAGAATGCCGAGTAATAGCATGAAAGCATGAGTGTTACAGGGAAAATTATACTTTTCACATATTTACTGCATTTGACTTGGTGTGCTATAATGCTAGAGTCGTTTAAGTAATAAAATGTTTTCGAATTAAGTTATAAGCCCAATGCCAAATATTTGCTGTTTCATTTCTTCATTTCTTAAAACCATATGACTAAGTAGGAATTATCGTGCAGCAACCTGATTTATCAGCAACCTGTATTTAGAGTTAATCCGATCAAAAACTGATGATGCATGACAATCTACCTAACTTATGATAAATCCATTACTCTTGGAAAGCATTGTAAAAATCTAATAGCATTAAATAAGGTCAGCAAACGGGAGGTTGCAGGAATATCAGGGAAATTGCACCAAGCCTCCCAGGGGTTATGAATTGTCTTTTCTGCTGTGGAGTGGTTGTCACTTTTATGCTTACATAACACTGCATCGTCATGATTATAAAACACATTTACGTTGTGGCTACAGAACGTTAAGAAAAGCTTCTACCTGATTTTACATAGAAGCCTAAATGCAGTACTTACTACAATGTCTCACTCACTGGACTGATTGCGGTATGTAAAATTAAAGAAACACAGTCCATAAAATTTAAGACTTCTAGTAAGTCTATTATCAGGGCAATGATAGAACATTAAATCTCAACTACAGCAAAGGACGCCATATTGGAATCTTAGAAATAAGGTCCAAAAAACCATATTTTACACATTTCGCTAGATGGAAAAAATCTTTGTAGAAAGACAAATTAACTTTTTAAATGTGATGATAGAAAAGGCAGTCAACTTCCTTGCCCAAAGATTTAAATGTGTTGGCTACAGTGCAATTAATACGGCCAAATCATCATTAACTATAATAATTGCAAATTGTGAGATCTTTTAAAGAAAACAGACTGGTGTGAGAATTGGCAAAAGTGATATTTGAAATAAAACCAGCTTTCCAAAACGTAAAGTAATATAGGATGTTAGAAAAGTATTGACATGCCAGAATTTAATAACGCTGACGCCAGAACTCGAACTTAAACAACACAAACCTAAATTAGTTATGCTGCTGTCAGCCTGTTACTTACATGGTGACAAATGAGTCATAATAATCATAAGCTTGATTTTCAACTGTTGCAAAAACAAGGAAAACATATTCATCACTATAGAAACAAACTAAAACTCACCAGGTCAGTATGCGTATTTCAAACAAAAAATTTCTGTTGATCTTCACTAATTTTTATTGAAGAAAATATTAAATTTTGTAATAACATGGTTATTACAATACGTTTATCATAAAAATCAATGCAAACTTCAAAAATTTATGTTTCTATCTATAGCTAGTGACATAGCTGATGAAAAGTTGAAGTTGGAAAATGAAACAAGACTTACTTTTACTCCAGTGAATTTTAGGTTATCGTTTGCGTAAAATACTGTTGAATGTGTATGCTTTTTATCTTATTGCTCTTAGGCCATGGGCCGAATCGCGAAAAGTCGTTTTGAAGTAACATCGGCATGCGTCTACTGAGGAACCAGCTGAATTTCACACAATAGGTAGTTTATATTTAACAAATAGATATTATTTAAGCGTTGTCTATACAGATTTAGATACACGGGTATAACGTCATTTGCGATAAAAACTAAAGAAGTTACACCAAGCCACCGGGGCGAGTATTATTTCACTATTATTAGACTATTATTTCACCGAACAAACGAAAAATGGCATTTTTTCTCTACTTGACTGAACCAAAAATCATCAATACCATGTTCCAAGTCTATTTCTCTACTTCGGTTTGTTAATAAAAATGCTAAGTCACTCGTGTGGTCTTGATCTACTGTGTAAAATTATGACTTTGAGAGACTTATAGTCGTCTATATTTCTGTCCACAAGCCTTCTTTACTGAGTCATTACTTGCAATACGAATATAGATTTGGAGCCTTGTCATACTACATGTAGAGTGTACTAAGACAGTTCTAGCACAACGCTCAACTATAACGATGTTTCACAACTACAACAAAGATGTCATGTGCACTGCAAACGGCTGTGAATTTTGGTTATGACAGCCCAATTAAAATTCAAAAAGTTAATAAACAGCAAACTAAAAAATTAAAAAAATTCAGTCATAGCTCAACAAATCTCATAACATAACAACGCAAAAACGACATTTCAGAAACCATCTATCAAACTTATAGTTTAATATTGAAATAACAAGTCGCTCTAGTTAGGTTGAAGCAACATTGACAAAAAAATTCATTCAATATTCATTTCTTATCTTATAAAAACCAAAAAGAAAACGATGAATCACTACTATTCTGAGTAGTATTTGAAGTAAATTTCGAGTAATAAACTCAAATTGAAAGGAAATGTAGGTTTGAAATTCATCTGCATGGTTCCAAAGAATCTCACGTGTACTGAATTACAAGTCGCCAAAAGTAAAAATTAAAATATGTCGATCGTTTTGGTTTTCTCCCTTTCTTGCCTATTTCCCTGTTTTGTTCTCTTCTTAGCATTTGAACAAAGCAAAACCGATTCAACAATCGTAATGGAATTTACAGAGTGCAGGTATGAGTACAAAACAAGAACTCTGAAGAGCAAAAATTTTCAGCGAAAGACAAGTTGTCATCGTAAAGGTCGTAAATCATCCCTAGAATTTAACGCGGATTCCAACATCATTTCGCCTTATTATACATGGAAGTTTTCTTCATTTAAAAGTATAAAAAGTAAAGATAGACCAAAAAGCCAAGTGCAAATGATGTTAATTTTTAGTTAGCACTATTTTTGATATGCATAACGCAAAAAACTCGTCATCCAGTGAGCAACTTCAGCAAGCTTTGTTGTTCACCATTGTTTATCAAGTGTAGTGAAAGACTTTTCACCCTAACGCTACCTAATTGGTTGAGAGAAAGACTCTTTTTGCGTCGAAGACGTAAAAACATAACATTGATTTCACCTTTCTCGTTTCTGATCATATAACCAAGATAAAATAATCGATTTTTCTCTTTTATGCGCAAGTTAAACAATTGACATACATCATCAAGTTGATAAGTTCTACTAGAGCAACGTGATGGTTAAATATATTTTGGTTCTTCGATGGACGCATGAAAAAATCACAATTTTCGAAGTTGGCCCAAGGCCGTTTCGTTTCTGACTCATAACAAGAAAGAATTAAAATTAACTTATGACTTAAGATAGAATTCTCGTTCAATTTTCAAATTAACACCAATAACCTTTAAACATTTCACGCATATAAAACATAAAGTGCCACCTAGTACATAGATGGGAAAGTTGGTAAAATAAATTGCTTCACACGGCAATGTTGTCATCCCTGTTTTTTTATGATTTTAGGATCGAAATTATGCACTGAAATATTTCGTCCGCAAGATTTATATCTCTTGAGTTTTTATAATTTTTATAAATTTTTGCATTTTCAATAATGCTTGCGAGTTAATAAAAAATATTTTAACATAAATAAGGTAAGGCGCACATGCTCTAAGATTTGACTCTATAGCTTTTTTGATGTAAATAATTATTCATGTTTGCATTAAAGCGTCATTATGGACTTTGCAAGTGAGAAAACTCCTTAGCTCTTTAAAGAACAGGCCTTTACTCCTGTCTTTTACCTGTAGAGTCTTTTAACTCTTCGTATTGATGATTTTAACACACAACTAAACGTATTCTAATCATACTACATTAAGAAATACATGCCCCTCCATGTTAAGCATACCAATGTGTATAAAATATACTTATTACAATCGATGGTGTGTAAATAAATGCACATAACGATGTCATATTTCATAAATGTATTAGAATGATATAGGAAAACAAAAATGCAGAGTGTTTGCATGAAAGCAAAAGTGTTACAGCGAAACTTATTCTTTCCACAAATTTACTACACTTGACTTGGTGTGCTATAGTGCTATAGTCGTTTAAACAATAAAATGTTTTGGAACAAGATATGAACTCCTTGCAGAATATTTGCTGTTTCCTTTTTCCATTTCTTAGAACCATTTGACTATATAGAAATTATCGTACAGCAATCTGATTTCTCAGCAACCTGTATTTAGAATTAACCCAATGGAAAACTGATCACTAAGGCAATTTCACTATTTTATAAAAGCCACTATTTTTGCAAAGCATTCCAAAAACCTAATAGCATTACATAATGTCTGCAAACCAGAGGTTCAAGGATTATTAGGAAAATTATACCTAGCATCCCAGGTGTCATTTATTGTCAATTTTACTATATAATGTTTGAAAATTGAAAAACAACAACATTAAGAAATGCATTGGAAATTTAATGCTTATATAACACTGCCTAGTCATGATTCTAAAATACAGTTAAGTCGATGTTACAGAATGTTGAGTTTTATACATGATTTCACATAGAAACTCAAATGCAGTGATTACTACAGTGTCTTACTCACTGGTCTAAGTGCGAGATTTGAAAATGGATCTAATGGACAACATAAATATTTAGAATCACCAAGGCTGTGAAGATGTTCATGGGTTATTTGGTAGCATTTATCCAACAAAGTAATGTCTCATTCTACAAATCTAACTCAAAGTAACACAGCCCGTAAAAAAATAAGGACTACTTTTTTGTCTATTTTCAAGGCAAATATAGAACGTTACAACATGTCAACGATATCAAAAGATATCATTATGGAATCATAAAGGCAAAGGCGTAACTAGAACGTTAATTAAGGTACGGAGAGTGTATAATCATATATTCAGTTGTGCCATTCTGATTTCTTTTAAAATTCAATTCCCTTTTAAAAGAAAACAGTAGGGCACAACGGAATATATGAATATGCACCCAAAATTAACGTTCTAGCTACGCCTCTTCTTAGAGGGAATCTTATAATGCATATATTTTGCTGAATGGAAAAGAATCTACGTAAAAAGACAGATATTAAGCCGGCTTTGCCAAATGTAAAGTAATATGCGATGTTAGAGAGGTATTGACTGCCAGAATTCAGTAATCCTAACGTAAAAACTCTACCTGAAACAACATACAGTTAAACTCGTTATGTTCCTGTTTCTTTATATGGGGGCAAAGATATTAAACCACTTTTATAAGTTTTATAGAGAACTGGTACCAAATCAGGAAAAACTTATTCATCGCTGGAAACAAAGTAAAACACACTTGGTCGGTCCGTGTATCTGCACAAGAAATTATCTGTTATTTTGGCTCAGTTTTTATTTACGTGTATACTAAATAATGTAATAATATGATTATTACAATAGGTTTCATACTATAACAATTTCTGCAAACTTTAGAAATATCATGTTTTTACGTAGTGACGTATCTGATGAAGAGTTGGAGTTAAAAAACTGAGCAAGACATATCTTCAATTGAAGTTATAGGTTTTAATTCTAGTCGTCATCATGATAAGCGAAGCCATAACATGCCTGTTCATATATCTATGTAATACAACAACAATAACACCCGTGCATCTTCCTATATGGTTTGCGTTAAATACTGAATGTTGAATTTGTATTCTTTACATGCCACTCGTTCTCACAAATAGCAAGAAAGAAGTATAATCAAATTTTTCCTTAAGCCAAGTTGTTCAGTTTTTAAATTAACTGCATGCACAGAGATTCACATATTTCACATGTAAAAATAGTGCAACCTAATGCAGATATGAAAAAGTTTGTTGAACTAAATTGTTTCAAGCGTAAATGTTGTCATGCCAGTGTTTATTGTCTTAAGATCAAAATTATGCACGGAAGTATTTTGCTCCCAAGCTTTATGTCTTCTAAGTTTTTATCTTGTTTTTTAATTTGTTGTACATTTGATATTGTGCGTTCACAAAAATATTGCCGCATAAAGAATGTAACTTAAACATGTTGTAAGATTTGAATCTTACTTTATGCAGTAAACTAGTTGGTTTAAGCTAAGTGTTTTTTGTAAGATACGTTATCTATGTAGTCAAAATGATTGTTCTCAAATTTGATTTAACATAGTTGTGATATTAAAATTATCAATGAAGAATACAATTTAATTAATTTTTGTTTTTTTCTTCCATAGTTTTCCCTAGAGAACTGTACAATTTTTGGAAAGGAATATAGTGAGTCACCTGGATGTGCTTTACGTTTAAGGTATTGCGTACAAAATTTGTTCTAACAATGCTGGTTTTTTAAACTATTTTAATGTCACAAAAGTAATATGTGTTATTTGAAATTCTACAACCTAAAAATAACACCAAAATTTGCAAAGTTTCTGTTATCTGTTTATGCAAAATGTTCTAACCGCTTAGTTTTATAACAATAAACAATATTTATAAACAAAAGTTAAAGAATATTTGAAGAATCAATGCAATCTACTTGATCTAGATTCCAAGTATTTCCACGATTTCTACTCTTTCTGACTATTAAAGAGTTCATGTAATAAAGTTCTAAATTTTGTGAATTACTTTCTAATATAATAAACATACCTTCTTTTTTCTCCGTATGAACGTGTAAGTTTGAAGGGGATTTAGCATCAGCAGTATCATCAGACTTTAATTCTTTGAAAAAGATATAAAAGTAGAGCAAGTGAACTATAGCGTAAAATAAAAAGTGGCTTTTTATAATAAATATGTTTCTAGGAAAAGACTGAGTTACCTGGAGTTTATAAAAATTACTAAATTAAATAAAAAGAAAAAACCCAAGAATCAATTCTTCAAGTAAATTATTAGAATTTAGCTACACGTACTTTCCAAAAACAAAGATATAGATCAATCTAGGATTTTAAAGTTATAAAGAATTTTTTAGAATCCAAGTATTGCAAATCTGGTATTTTTCCTAAAATATTCAAAATAAAAAACTGAAAAAATGTACAACTTTATTTGTGTCCTAATTGTGGAAATTGTGTCCTGTGTTTTAATTTTTTTAATTTTTACGAACAATAGTTAAAAGCAATTAGTGGAAAATTTTTTAAGTCATCATATATAGAACAAACAAAACATATTTGTAATAAAAATAGCTAGCCCCAGCTTGTAGTTACGGTAAAAATTAAGAACAATTTTAAATAGAGTACTTGAGATTTTTTTAAAGCATACGTTTATATTAAGTAAAAAGCAGATACTTAAAAAAAGTAAAATTGTTGAACCAAGGCAAAGTCAAACAAATTGTATTTAGGCATATCAGTTTAGAAAGATTTAGGAGGAAAAGCTTCTCAGTAGTGTTTTGGCCTAAGTTGCAAACCACACAATAAAGCATAAGATAGAAAGAAAACAAGGAAAAATTTACCAAAAACAAATTTTAGTTGCATGTGGCGGGTTAATATAGCTTAGTTTTAATTATGTGTTAAAAAGATTTAAAATATTTTTGCTCCTAAAAATATATGAAGTGCATTACATTTTTGTCAATTCGCATCAAACTTTAAGTAATAAATCTCTTTTATCCATTTACTACAAATGGACTATATATAAGAGAACTTCAATAAATATATGCTCAGGATGGTTAAACGGCCTATAATATGATCATTACTCCAAATGAATCTCAGTTTCACTAAAAACAGCCTTAACTAATTTTATTAATATTCCTCAAAATTTTTTTTTCTGTTCAGATCTACCCAAACTTAATGCAAAAGAATTCAAGATTTGTAGACACAAAAGACTTGAAAAATTTAGTCTGAAATTTCAAAAATCTTATAAGTTACACTAAAAAACCCTTATATATGCTATAATAAACATAAACAAAAAAAAACATACCAAAACTGTTCGAAGATACAGTAACAACAACATGATCAGAAGAAACTGATTTTCTTTGAATTGCCTGCGCTCTTTCATCAAATTCTTTTGCCTTGTCATTTTCTTTAGTACGATGGTACACTTTGCCTAGATTGCTTAAAGTCGTAGCTACATCAACATGTTCAAGACCAAGTGATTTTAGTCGAATTTCCAACGCTTTTTTATAACACATTTTGGCTTTGGCACGTTTGTTGGTCTTATAATACACATTACCTAGAGAGTTTAAAGTTGTAGCTACATCAACATGTTCTGGACCAAGCGATTTTTGTTCAACGTTCAACGCTTTTTCGAGAAATTCTCTTGCTTTGTCATATTCTTTAGCATAAAGGTACACATTACCAAGAGAGTTTAAAGTCGTAGCCACATTAACATGTTCAGGACCTAGTGACTTTTGTGCAATTTCCAACGATTTTTCATAACACTCTTTGGCTTTGGCATGTTTGTTGGTCTTATAATACACATTACCAAGAGAGTTTAAAGTCGTAGCTACATCAGCATGTTCAGGACCTAGTGATTTTTGTGCAATTTCCAACGATTTTTCATAACACTCTTTGGCTTTGGCATGTTTGTTGGTCTCATAATACACGTTACCAAGAGAGTTTAAAGTCGTAGCTACATCAACATGTTCAGGACCTAGTGATTTTGTGAATTTCCAACGCTTTTTCGAAATTCTTTGCTTTGTCATATTCTTTAGTCATAATACACATTACCAAGATTGTTTAAAGTCGTAGCTACATCAACATGTTCAGGACCTAGTGATTTTGTCGAATTTCCAACGCTTTTCGTGAAATTCTTTTCTTTGTCATATTCTTTAGTACGATGGTACACATTGCCAAGATTGCTTAAAGTCGTAGCTACATCAACATGTTCAAGACCAAGTGATTTTACTCGAATTTCCAACGCTTTTTCGTGAAACTTTTTTTCTTTCTCATATTCTTTAGTACGATGGTACACTTTGCCAAGATTGCTTAAAGTCGTAGCTAAATCAACATGTTCAAGACCAAGTGATTTTACTCGAATTTCCAACGCTTTTTCATAACAATCTTTGGCTTTGGCATGTTTGTTGGTCTTATAATACACATTCCCCAGAGAGTTTAAAGTCGTAGCTACATCAACATGTTCTGGACCAAGCGATTTTTGTTCAACGTTCAACGCTTTTTCGAGAAATTCTCTTGCTTTGTCATATTCTTTAGCATAAAGGTACACATTACCAAGAGAGTTTAAAGTCGTAGCTACATCAACATGTTCAGGACCTTGTGACTTTTGTGCAATTTCCAACGACTTTTCATAACACTCTTTGGCTTTGGCATGTTTGTTGGTCTTATAATACACATTACCCAGAGAGTTTAAAGTCGTAGCTACATCAACATGTTCAGGACCAAGTGATTTTAGTCGAATTTCCAGTGCTCTTTCGTGAAATTCTCTTGCTTTGTCATATTCTTTAGTCTCGTGGTACACATTGCCAAGATTGTTTAAAGTCGTAGCAAAATCGACATGTTCAGGACCAAGTGATTTTTGTCGAATTTCCAATGCTTTTTCATAACAATCTTTGGCTTTGGCATATTTAATGGTATTATAATACACATTGCCAAGATCGTTTAAAGTCGTGGCTACATCAACATGTTTAGGACCAAGTGAATTTTGTCGAATTTCCAACGCTTTTTCATAACACTTTTTGGCTTTGGCATATTTGTTAGTCTTATAAAACACATTACCAAGATAGTTTAAAGTCCAAGCTACATCAACATGTTGAGAACCAAGTGATTTTTGTCGAATTTCCAACACTTCTTCGTAAAATTCTCTAGCTTTGTCATATTCCATATTGCGATAATACGCATCCCCAAGAGCTTTTAATGTCGTAGCTACATCAATATGTTCAGGACCAAGTGATTTTTGTTGAATTTCCAACGCTTTTGCATAATACACTTTGGCTTTGGCATATTTGTTGGTCTTATAATACACATTACCAAGAGAGTTCAAAGTCGTAGCTACATCAACATGTTCATGACCTAGTAATTTTTGTTGAATTTCCAACGCTTTTTCGTAAAATTCTCTAACTTTGTCATATTCCATATTGTGATAATACGCATCCCCAAGAGCTTTTAATGTCGTAGCTACATCAATATGTTCAGGACCAAGTGATTTTTGTCGAATTTCCAACGCTTTTTCATAACATTCTTCGGCTTTGGCATGTTTGTTGGTCTCATAATGCACATTACCAAGAGAGTGCAAAGTCGTAGCTACATCAACATGGTTAGGATCTAGTGATTTTTGTTCAATTTCCAACGCTTTTCGTGACATTCTATTGCTTTGTCGTATTCTTTAGTATCAAAGTACACATTACCAAGTGTTTAAAGTCGTAGCTACATCAACATGTTCAGGACCTAGTGATTTTGTTCAATTTCCAACGCTTTTCATAAATTCTCTTGCTTTGTCATATTCTTTAGTATAAAGGTACACATTACCAAGATTTAAAGTCCTAGCTACATCAACATGTTCAGGATCTAGTGACTTTTGTCGAATTTCCAACGCTTTTTCGAGAAATTCTCTTGATTTGTCAAATTCTTTAGTACGATGGTAGATATTACCAAGATTGTTTAAAGTCGCAGCTACATCAACATGTTCTGGACCTAGTGATTTTTGTCTAAATTCCAACGCTTTTTCATAACACATTTTTGCTTTCTCATATTCTTTAGTACGATAATACACATTACCAAGAATGTTTAAATTCGTAGCCACATCAACATGTTCAGGACCAAGTAATTTTTGTCGAATTTTCAACGCTTTTTTATGAAATTCTCTTGCTTTGTCATATTCTTTAGTGCGAGAATACACATTACCAAGCTTGTTTAAAGTCGTAGCCACATCAACATGTTCAGGATCAAGTGATTTTTGTCGAATTTCCAACGCTTTTTCATAACACTCTTTGGCTTTGTCATATTCTTTAGTACGATAATACACATTACCAAGAATGTTTAAAGTCGTAGCCACATCAACATGTTCAGGACCAAGTGATTTTTGTCGAATTTTCAACGCTTTTTCATGAAATTCTCTTGCTTTGTCATATTCTTTAGTACAATGGTACACATTACCAAGATTGTTTAAAATCCAAGCTACATTAACATGTTCTGGTCCTAGTGATTTTTGTCGAATTTTCAAAGCTTTTTTATAACACACTTTGGCTTTGGCATATTCTTTAGTACGATAATACACATTACCAAGCTTGTTTAAAGTCGTAGCTACATCAACAAGTTCAGGACCAAGTGATTTATGTTGAATTTCCAACACATTTTTATAACACTCTTTGTCTTTGGCATGTTTTTTGGTATCATAATGAACAATACCAAGATTGTTTAAAGTCATAGCTACATCAACATGTTCTGGACCAAGTGATTTTATTCGAATTTCCAACGCTTTTTCATAACACTCTTTTGCTTTGTCAGTTTCATTAGTACGATAATACACATTACCAAGAATGTTTAAAGTCGTAGCCACATCAACATGTTCAGCACCAAATGATTTTTGTCGAATTTCCAGCGCTTTTTCGTGAAATTCCCTTGCTTTGTCATACCTTTTAGTGTAAAGGTACACATTACCAAGATTGTTTAAAGTAGCAGCTACATCAACATGTTCTGGACCAAGTGATTTTTGTCGAATTTCCAACGCCTTTTCATAACACTCTTTGGCTTTGGCATGTTTGTTGGTCTCATAATACACATTACCAAGATAGCTAAAATTCGTAGCTACATCAACATGTTCAGGATCTAGTGATTTTTGTCGAATTTCCAGCGCTTTTTCGTGAAATTTTCTTGCTTTCTCATATTGTTTAGTATAAAGGTGTACATTACCAAGACTGTTTAAAGTCGCAGCCACATCAACATGTTCTGGACCAAGTGATTTCTTTCGAATTTCCAACGCTTTTTCGTAAAACTCTTTGGCTTTGGCATATTTGTTGGTCTCATAATACACATTACCAAGATAGTTTAAAGTCGTAGCTACATCAACATGTTCAGGAACTAGTAAGGTCTTCTGAATTTCGAGACATTTCTTAAAACATTTCTTAGCTTTTCGTATTTTCCGATTTTGTAATACTCCATGCCATGTTTGCTTGATATCTTAGCGTCATTTTGCTGTTGTGATTCTTTTTTGAATTTAAAATAATTGTATTTGAAATTCATTATCTTTCTGACATTTCCACCGCTAGAAAAATTTATTAAAGTTCATGTACTTTTCATTATTAACAAATAGGCAATATAGGTTTACTTCGTTTTTATTTATTATTATTTTAATTTTTAATGTTTACCGTCTATGGCCTGCCTTGACAATTCTGAAACATTTATAAAGCCAAATAACAGTTAACTCTCTGATCTGATAAAAGACTGGTTATGTAGTTTCTGTAGGTATCACAAAAGTGAAACCCGATAACACATGCGACGATACAACAAATTAGATTCTTGCACGGACAGTTTTTAAATGGAGACAAACGCCAACATTTCATGGCCATAGGAAACATTTTGATTTCAAATTGAATTGAATAACTTGTTCTGCCCATAATAAAGTAAATGGTTTGAACCCGGGAGTATCGCTACAGGTTTGTAAATGTCGATCGTCCAGGTTGATATAGTCCTGAGAAGGACTGTTTTTGTTGTTGTTGACTGACGTTTCGACAACCTTAGCGGTACTCATCTTCAGAGTCAAATGAAGTCAAATATCCATTTCAAGTATCCAAGAGTCAAATATCCATTTGACTCTGAAGTTCTACTACAAAGGTTGTCGAAACGTCAGTCAACAACAACAAAAACAGTCCTTCTCAGGACTATACCAACCTGGACGATCGATATTTACAAACTTGTTCTAACCATGACGTATATTTTTGATTATTAAAAAAGTCGCGAAACCAAAATATTGGAAAATCTGCGTTGGTAAACGTTATCTGCCGTCATTCCTATTTGGTCTTTTAATCTTGTACTGGTGGAAAAGAAAATAATAATCTGGTACAACTTTGTTTATTCCCACTCTGCTATTTTGACGCAGTTAGCTCAGCATGTTCTATGTGTTAATAATACACTTTTAAGTAGTGTTTAATGTGATGTTCTAGCGTCAATAGTGAGCTTTAGTAAGTGTGTATTATTATACTGTGCGACTTAATTCAAGTACGAGTTCGAAGTTTGACCGTGTACTGGATTTGCACGAAGATGTTTGTCGTCGTTGTTGCTTTGTCAAAATTTTATTTTAGTTTTAAAAAAAGACCGAGTTTTTTTACTTGGAAAACCACCGCGTTTTGTGAAGCATATAGCTTTAGCTACGGCTTTATTTGTTAATAATTATATCAACGAATCGGTAATAATGATTTTGCAAAATGTAGGACTCTTTATAGACAGAAAAATGTTTACTAATTTACATTTTATGTTTTATATATTTGTAGTATTTCACTGTTTCTTTACATTCCATTTGCATTTGAGATGCATGAAAGTATAAAAGATATACAAGAGGACTTTTAAACTTGGTAAACACATATTGCTATGAACATATTCCGTTCACTAGAATTAAAAAATGATTCAGCCTTGGAAAAGTAACGATTCAAGCTGATGCAATTTCTTCAGGCAACGAAAATCAAATGTGGAAACAAAGCACACTTTAAATTCATGAGGACTATTTAGTTTAAACGTTTCCAATAAATATATTGATGATGTATATTTAGAACCAAATATCATTCTCCTCGATATTGAGAGAAGTACGTCTGTAAACGTTCCTGTGATAACAAAAGATCCCAATGCAACTCTGTTATTACGTATTTAAATGTTAACTGGTGCTTAATTAATGTGTGGCGAACATCTGTTACATTTCAAATATTGCTAATAAATTCATAAAGTCAGTCTCGAATAAGAGTCATTACTTCTGTTATTTTCTCGGTACGTTAAAATGAATACACTCTTATTGGCGTAAACTTGTATTTTTCTTAAAATGAACGTCTCTTCACAAAAACGCCTCATGAATCATTATTAGATTCAGTGAATGGTTACTTTATCGTAAGTTTAGAAAGTTGGCATGCATGTTGCAACATGTAATATTACGACGTTTCTACAAGTACGTTTTGCACTCCGTCACTCGTTAGCCTTTGTAGTAAATAATACCTCATAAGTACACCTCAATTAATTTGAATTTATATAATTTAGAAGAAACGAAAACGTAAGAGATTCTATTTTCGACCTTCGTTAACATAACAATATTTATAAACCTATACCCAACGTTAAAATGTTCGAATTTACCAAAGAACAAACATTTACGTACTTGTTAACAATGAAATTATGAGCTCTCGCTATAAATATATCGTATATGTCTTTCCTGTTTTCTTACAACCTTTCGCCATCTTACCAATATGAGATGACAAATATTCAAAAATCTTTTTTTTTATTACAATATAGTACACAGTCGTCAAGTTACTAGCCAGAAAAACGGTGAATTCAACGCATGCGCACGGAAAATATGCCAAACATTGCACAGTCAATGAGTGGGGCTTCGAAAGCACTTCATGCATATTCAAAGCTCAATTTCTCTCAACTGATTGCTTGATTTGAAATATCTAGGAGAAAATCTTGCCATAGATGGAGAAATGACTTTGCTGATGATTAGATAGAGTGTGATTTTTATGTCGCTCTCAATATATATGAATGTGAGTGAGCTTTTAGTATACGGGTATAGACTTCTTCAAGAATTTTTATTGCCGAAATAAATAAAATTCCAATTCCGACAATCAACTTCGTGAATATCTCGGGAAATACATTACATTTCGGTCCAAAAGAAAGGAACAACGGAAAATACAAAACAATTAAGTTCCTTCGTAAGAACGGAATTGTCTACGTTGAGTTTTAAATCGTACGCGCTCACCTACCATGAAGTAGTTTATCTAAATTATATATAATTCACATGTCGTCGTATGCAAATAAGACATTGAAAAGGCTCAGTGTAAAAGCTCAAACAAAATATTATATTTTTGAAATACATAAAATTCAGTCAAAATTAATCTATAGTGTGTCTACGCTATATACTAGTCATTCAGTGGTGGATTCAAATTTATATCAGAAGACAAATAAATACAACGCTTAATTTGGCCTTATTTTGTTATATCTATAAATTCATGTTAAGAATAATTTTATTGATTTTAAATCGTCGAATCGTCCGACTCCCTGTCTGCATTCAAAACTTAAAATCGTCCAATCATGTTTCCTTTAATCATAACTCACTGCTTTAAAGGAACGCACGACAAATAGTTTTAAATGTTTATTGAGTACGATTGGTTTTGTAAAATTTTAACGCTTGAGAGTTAAAGCAAGCCTTGAATATATTCAAAGTACGAAATCATTAATAGTACAGATAAAATAACCGATCATCTATGACGTATAGTAATTACAACTTTATTTATTTTTTGTTAACATACCTTGAACTGATAGCGACTTCAAATTTCTTAAACTCATCTCATAAAAACATCATACGCATCCTTCAATTCCGTGTATAATAAATGTTTTTATGCAAAGGAATTTGAACCTTCGTAGGTGTATATTGTTATGTAAAACAAGGGTATTACACCATATGATTTTTATTGTTGTTAATCATAACATTTTTAAAATAATATAGTGAACATTGATTGAGCAAAACATTAGGTGTATATTTGAATTATAACTTTGCGATGTTTTTATCGTAGTGCATATGCACGCTTTAATACTTTGATCATTTATCTAGTACTTATAATTAAATGTTATTTATAAATAAATTGCACAGAAAGAGTGTAAATGCTGATATATTTTTAGCATAATATTGAAATGCCGGCTGATACAATTTTCCTAAAACTTTGCTAAAAGGTCAGAACGCAACCTCCTCCAGCGACTTTTCATATTATTAAGATTCGCTAATATGTTCTACTAACACAATGTAAACGAGAGTCTTCACGTCCTCCATTATATTTCGACCAGCTGCACACAAGCCATTTTCCTCATCCAGGTAATTCAATAGAAATCTATAGTCATTATTAGAAGGAAATCTAGAAGCTTTCTTGCATGAGTGAGCATATTTTATAGAACTGCACAGAAGTTTTTATTCTGGTTTTTATTGTGGCATTATTATATATATATATATGTAAGTAATTTAACTATATTGCATGAGAACAACTTACAGGGTACAACTTATTGAGGACAATTTACGAGGCACAGCAAATTGAAGATAACTTATACGGCGGTGTACGTTGACAAAAGAACACCCTACAAGTCTTGGAGACATCAACTAAGCCTTTTTGACTTCTGTACCTTTAATCTGTTTGGAAAACCTATTGTGAATCATTGTTGGAATCACGTACACTAGACTCGGGGTACGGTTCAGACTGAGCAGATAAGTTAAACTCGTTAGCCTACCGTTTGATAGTAGTGAGACTCTTATTGTTAAAATACGTAATTGATGAAAAATAAATAGCTTCACTGATTATATCTGGTGTCACACTATTTTTATAACATGTGGAAATACAACGAAAATTCGTATTGGTTATTTCAGTCATGTTTATTTGAAACCTGTGCGTGTCTCAAAATGATACTATTATTTAAAAAAATTAAAATACATACATAAATTACCCTAAATATGCGTTCTAAAATGTTAAAATATTTCACATATGCACAACATTTCTTTTGATTATAATGAAATTCCTGATTGGATCGTGGAAGCTCTACGTATCCAAGCTTTGTAATTTAGATATCCATTTCTTGGCTTCTTCCTCCGTCGCAGCATACAAATTATACAATCGTTTCTCTGTACGAAGCTATAGAAGCATATAAGGCAGTGAAAATAGTCTTTAAGAAGAAAAGTATTTTACATGCATGATAGTTTATATCGGTTTTATTTCAAAGTTTTAAAACAGGGTTCAATGTTATCAGCGTAAAATATTTAATTGCTTTTTCAATGTCAATCTAAATCAACTAAAAGTGGTAAAGAAAGGATCATCTTTAAGCTTCAGGGAAAATTTAAAAGTTCATAAAAGAGCTTATTCCCATTATTTAATACTAGCCACCCTTACATAGTTTACAGAAAATAGCAAGCACGATTAACCAAATGGTTTTCACACAATAATTTAAACCAATCAAAATTCGTGATGATTTAGAGCACTTTAAAGCTTCAAACAAGCAACACAGCGATGAAAGATACACAAATATATTACTTACGTCGAAAAAAACTTGCTTCTCGTTTGCTAAAAATATCAATGAAATTCGCAATTTTTATAAAAAAAACACGACAATACAATAACAGCACTTTTACAATCATGTAATCATGTTTACAGTTTTATCGTACAATTAAATACGTAATTGCAACTTGTTCCATACTTAAATATATTATTAATTTTTATATACAGAAATAAATATCCTTTCCACAGATACCAAAAAAGCTTAAAAATTTGCAATTCATTCAAGCCGGTGCACAAAGACATTTGCTCTTAAGGTAATATCCCAGGAGAAGTTTTAATTTGGAACACACAACACCCTCCGCAAAATCCAAAGTTAACAGAAAAGTCGTTTTTCTCAGTTATGCAACCAAAGTCAATAGAGCATTGTTTTAAAAGCTCATCAAAACCATGGAAGAAATAAGACTATAGAGCAAAATATTGAAATAAAACTTACAATTCAACTGTGACATTTCACATGAAATAATTTCAGATAAGTTGACAACACCTTGACAATGAACATCGCTTACTTCATCATAGTAACGAAGCTACAAAACCAATTAATTTGTGAAAACATAGACATCGTAAAATGTTAAAGCTAAGGACAGCAAATTGCAATGAACTAGAAATAAGTGCATCGAATAATTTGCACAGCTTAAACTTTGCGATTTTCACCATCAAAAAAGTCGGAAGCTTTAAATCATGGACCTCCCGTTCTCAGAAGTTCTTTTAACAATTCCATGCTCTGTCAGTAATGTAACGATTTTAAAATGCACTTTTGTTACTCTTGCTTTTAACGTGATGTCACAAATAGAACAATGAAAATTTAACGTGAAATCACAAAAATAAGGTATCGCAAAGTATGATTTGGACTAAATCAAATAGGCACAAAGCTATGGTAAGAAACAACAAAGTTAACCTTTCTATAGTAATTTTTAACAGAAACCAGTAGACATTGACAATCTGAAGCTTTATTTTACACCGTTTTCCATCTTTCATTATCACATTCCATCAAAATATCGTTCGCTAAAATTGCCAATAAAGAACAATACCTGATGTCTTTCCGTATCCAATACAAAATACCGTTGCTTCCATTGTTTGAATAAAGCACCTCGTTTCCATAGATACCCACACAAAAATTTCGAAGATTTGTTTATACTTGGAGACTATGGAATGATAAAGATTATTCAAATGACTAATTCATGATAAATCAGTTTGTCTAGTGTAACTAAAGCTTAATCCGGTATAAATGAGTAATATAAAGTGAAACTTAACAATATCTTCTTTGTTTACATATTATATAATTATAAATTTAAAAGTGAAGAAAAATGTTTGCAGTTAACAAACATCAATGGAAGTTCACTAGTGTACTATATTGTACCTCGTGTAAGCTTTTGTTACTAGTTGATGGCATTCTATCATTCTGGTCTTTTAGATTCTTGTAATTAGGACACGTTTTAGGAACACGTGATAAGCATTTCTCGTGACAGTTGTATCCACATTCTGTGCATCTGAATCCTATAAAAAACACATATTAAAATACAAAAGAATTTTTGGTGGTAGGAGACAAAATCTCTCCACAAAATATATCGTAACTACAACGCGTGGTGAACAGTTTTTGGGTATCAAGATGCCAGGACCGAGCCAAGTCATTTTAATTCATTTTGGATAGACTTGCTTGAATAAATTTCTTAAATTATTAAATTATCAACGGTACACACTCATTGAAATTCATGATGGACAAAAGCGGCGTCACAATCATCATGAAATAAATTATCAGTTGTATGACATAACAATTATCATAAATCTAGCAAAAAATATTGTCTGGCTGCGATTGTTTTACTTTGATTTCAGAATTAAATTTATACTAGGGTATATTTAACTAACATGAACGCGCGTGCATTCTGCTATAAAGCTTTGCTAGTTGTAAAATTTTATTAGCAAAATTTCCATAGAAACTTTGCACAGTAGACAAGATAAAGAAGCGTGTTTATAGATGCAACGGAAAGTCAACTGTATGGCCATCATAGATAGATAGATACACAAGCAAACCATACCTCCTTTTCCAATATTCCATATCACTTGTAGACAGAAATCGCAGTTGGTTGGCGTAAAGAAACTGTGAGGTTCAAATGAATGAGGTCGTGAAAAACCTTGGTTACTGTAGTCTTCGATTTGAAGTTTCCCCTGAAATATAAAAGTAACATCTGTCACATAGTATGTAGCTTTAAAAGAAACTAAGTGAAATCAGTTTCTACAAGGTCATCTTATAAAAGTAACAAAAATACTCTCTACTTCAAAGGTATAAATACGCAGCAAAAGTTGTAGAAATAATTTTGAACTACAAATTTAAGCAATTGCTGTCTATTCTTCGCAAAACACAACAATGTTGACATTTTTTAAAGCTAAGATCATAACAGACATGGAAAGCCTAACAAACGTAACAAAGGAATCAACGTATTATGAAAATTTAAACAAAACAAATTATTTACTGAAACCAGTACAAATGGTGTGTTGTCATGTGAAGTGAGCCGCCACATGATAGGTCACTTAACAAAACAAATTATTTACTGAAACCAGTACAAAGGTGTGTTGTCATGTGAGCCACCACAAGGTAGGTCACTTAACAAAACAAATTATTTACTGAAAACAGTACAAAGGTGTGTTGTCATGTGAAGTGAGCCGCCACAAGGTAGGTCACTTACAAAAGTTCCAACATTAAGATGTCAATTTTACCTCCATTTCAGTAAAAGAAATTAAATGAAGATTAAACTAATGCGTTAACTGACTACTTTTCAAGATTTTATCAAAAATCAGAATTCAGAGACATTAAAATTTTGTACAAACTGTGTTCGAGAATCTTTCAAAATGGCGGCATGATACCAATCTCATATTGTGTGAAAAACCTTTAAAAACACGGGTGCTGATTAGTGCAATGCTTGAAAATACCGTGTCTATAAAACCCTTTATTGCACGAGAGCTTCAGTTTCTCAAAATTATTGAAAACTTGCGTGGTTATTGCGGAAAGTTTTAAGGCAAAATATAAACATGTTATTAAAATTCAAGAATTCATTGTCTTTATATTCTTCTTAAAACGTTATTTCATAAAGAAAATACAAAAAATATTTGCCTATTCCTATAGATTTATATAGAAACACTCGTGAAATTTTAAAGAAACTCGAAATTTTGGCAAACACACGCACTTCGTGTTACTCTTTACCATGTAATTTATTGTTTCTACCAATCACGTGTTTCTAAAACTCTCTAGAAACTCAGAAAGTGTTTTCTAGTTCTTAAAGAATACAACATATTCCAAGACAACATGAATACAATTTCATGGTTTAGTGCTACCAGCACAGCAAAACTAAATGTTAAAAAAGTTCATTTTAAAAGTTACCAAACTGATACAAAAATCCTTTTGTATATAGAAATTATTTTACCAAAATCACAAAATAGAACGAGTATATTGCATGAACGAGAATATTAATTTAATATCAGGTAATCATAAAATGGTCATTGAAGTTATAAATTATCTACAATCAATATAAAATTAATCATAAAGAAAAGAATCATAAATACTACCTCAAGTATTATGTCCATTGTATCTCGTTTGTGTAGTACACCACTACGGACTCTGGAAAGTTCTTCATTGTATGTTAAAAACTGTAAAGAAAAAATGCCAGTCAGTTATGGTGTTCATTCGTACCAGGCAAACACCACAGTCTGTGATGGTATTCATACCATGCACATACTCCAGTCTGTAATGGTATTCACCATGCACACACTTCAGTCTGTAATGGTATTTATACCATGCACACACTTCAGTCTCTATTATTCATACAATGCATATGTAATGGTATTCATACCATGCACACGCTTCAGTCTGTAATGGTGTTCATACCATGCACACACTTCAGTGATGGTATTCATACAATGCACATACTCCAGTCTGTAATGGTATTCATACCACACACATACTTCAGTCTGTAATGGTATTTATACCATGCACACACTTCAGTCTGGTATTCATACAATGCATACACTCCAGTCTGTAATGGTATTCATACCATGCACACACTTCAGTCTGTAGTGTTATTCATACCATACACACACTTCACTCTGTAATGGTATTCATACCATGCACACACTTCAGTCTGTAATGGTATTCATACCATGCACACACTTCAGTCTGTAATGGTATTCATACCATGCACACACTTCAGTCTGTAATGGTATTTATACAATGCACAAACTTCAGTCTGGTATTCATACAATGCATACACTCCAGTTTGTGATGGTATTCATACATACACACACACCACAATCTGCTACGGTATTCATACATACAATGCATACACTACAATCTGTAATGGTATTCACACCATACACACTCCAGTAAGCAAAAGTAGTTATGCTGCCTAAATGAGACCTAAAATATGATATTCACAAGCCATTTACAAAGATCCAGTGGATGACCTTTACTTAATGTCTACAAAGTAAAAGTAAAACAACACGTCACAATGAAAGTATATTTGCTATAAATACCGTTTTCGTTATTTTAGGCTGTTCCAAACGCTGCCATATATTTTTCCAACGAGTTGCGTGTTTGTCAGCCTCTTCTTCGATGCGATTATATTCGTACAAATGATATGCACAGCTACTATTGTCGTAATGAACCGATCCACCAAACATACCACTTCGACAGCGTCTAGTAAACAATGTGAAGCGTTAGCTATTTTAGTCAATAATTTACGCACGTTTGAATATTATAAGTCACTTTTTTAAACATATAGTAAAGTTTGCAACAAAAAATTAAGCATGCAAGGTACGAATGGCATTGAACTTATTTTTTAATAGAAACATGCAAACAATGGAAGTACTAAATAATGTTTTAATGGAAACATCCTAACTATTAAAGTACTCAATAATTTTCAAATGGAAACACGCTAAGTATAGTAGTACTTTATTAATTTTTAATGGAAACACGCAAATCGTAGAGGTACTTTGCTACGTTTTAAATGGAACGCGCTTACTTCTTAACGCAATAACTTATTCATACCTGTTGGCATCGTACTTGTCTTCTAACTTCTGTTGTCCTTCCTCGGCAGCAGTTTCTGTCTCATTTATAACTTCTTGATCAAACTCTGGACCAGTGGAGACATTCTCCGAAACAAAATAACTCCATAATTTTAGATTGGAAACGTTGCAATGAGGACGAAGCACCTGGGAATTTAGCGATAATGTATAAATCTGGTTTAAGAGAAGAAAATCTTCTACAGAAAATAAAGGAAACGAGTCGTTGTGACATAGTAAATGTATTTTAGATGCTGAATAAATTATAATTATTGTGTTTGTGAGCGAAATTCTAACAACAAAAATATTTTTATAGTTCCAATTTATAATCAAACCTTTCCTATTTATACAAACAAATTTTGTTTAAATATAATTCTATCTCATTAAAAACATCGCACAATATAATTATACACAGACATAAGTATTTCTCTTCGTATTTGTCTAGAGAAGAAAAATATTCAGGTTTAACTATTGACACTAACAAATTTTACTCTCGGACAGCGTGTCTGGGGGTAAAATCCCGCTAGCTTATCACTGTAAATGGACTTTTTAGGCCGTGCGTGGAAAGATTGAGACTAGTTGAATTGGCGGCTTTAAAATTTTGGCGGGAAGTAACATTCCAGTTCTATCTAGTTCAATGGGTTTTACAGTCCAATAAAGTCACTTTAAGTACAACACAAATCAAGGATATTCTAGGATTTACTAAATGAAGTTTACAAGTTTAACCAATAAACGTGTTAGATAAAAGATATACAAAGCGTCCATTGAAAAATAAACTGAGTTAAACGCCTGTTCTTCTTTGATCTTCTTTTAAATCAATTTGACAGTGATTACACAACTGCATGACCGAAAAGCATGCAGGTAATTTCATTATATTGCATGCGAGCTGTTGCAGCAAAGATTTGCTAAAATATGGCTGCAAATCAACAACTCACCTTTTCAGAATGTTCTTTCGAAAACTTGAAATTATAAAATAATGATGATTTTTTGTGTAGCATGTCGATATAATCCCAAAGACTTTTTATGTGAGATTTAGAAGTCTTTGCATCTTTCTTTTCAGCATCTGATAGCCAACCCATCTGCACACGTTCGTGCTCTGAATCCAGTAAAAACGTACGAAAACGCATGGCGACATGATGATAGGCGAGGAAATGTAAATAATACTCGTTGAATTCGAAGGATAGTGGATACTGACGTAATATCTGAGAACATAAAAAATATGTTGACAAAATATGTAAAATATGTAGATATGAGTAATTTTTCTAAACTTAAATGTAAAAATAAAAAAAGTAACTAAGAACACAAACAATATGAACAAATAGCTAAGTCCCTTTATCATTAATTTTGAATTATAGCAAATAAAAAAGATGGGAGACAATTGATGTCTAAACATTTCCCACCAAAATTCTTTAATAATATACGGTGTTTTTACTTTACGAAACTAGCGTGTTAAGTCCTAGTTTCAGCAGAACTTCAGGAAAAAATCTCACCCTTAAATTGCTTTTGTCTCCAAAAACGTACAGTGCAGCAGGCTCCCATCCTTGCTCAGTTATTGCTTTGTCAACGGAATCCACAACAGAAACACGTTTAGATGAATTGTCATTTGATCGTAGATTCATCGTTGCTTTAGACATGCTGACGTTGGCTGCCAATGAACGATGTTTCACCTCCGCTTTATTCCACGATACAGGATTTGAAGACACTTAAAATTAAAAGTATAGAAAATCACGGTTACATAATCACATAAGAATTCTTAAAGCCAAACTTTAGGATCCATAAGAAAAAAGTGATAAATGCACATACATTTGCTAATGCTAATAAAACTGAAAGAATGGAAAATAGTCCCTACATACTTATATTGTAATACATAAATATTTTACAAAAATCCACAGTATTCATAAATTTATAGCGTAGAAAATCAAGCTATATCTAAATCACCCAGTTTTAGAAAACCATTATACAATTCATTTTTATTAGTTCTCGAGGATACTTTATTTCAAAATGTGATTTTCAAAAAAACGATAATCCACAAAACCGTACCCATAATTGTAGTAAAGTAATATATATTGCTGTGATACCAAGGGTGGCAATAGATCTGTGTGTATGTGGGAAGGGGGGGGGGCGTTGCGCTGGGGAGGGCACTTACATGTGTAGGGACGAGCGTTGAAACGATAAATATAAACAACTAACCAACGGCAGATAAATATTTATCTTGCTCCACGTTGGATGAACGTATTGAGTCAGTGCTTCCACAACTTGCAGCTACACCAGAGCGAATGATGGATGCCACAGAGCATCGTTCAATGGCAGAATATCGCAATAAAACGGCGAATTTATTGACTTTATGTCTTCACGTCGCAAGAGGAAAACGCACATGGTGATGGTTTTTAGACACGCGCAACAAAGAGTCATCGGTCACGTGTTGTGGCACCACTAAAACAACCGGGTAACTGAAAGAAAAATCCACAATATGATGACTATTTTGTCGAAACATATATATTTTTCAAAGATTTGTAAAGATTACCCTTTCACAAAATAAATGTAATATGCGATAGTAAATATGAGTTTTAAAACACTTATGGTAATAATGAAATGGTTAAATGCTCCTAAGTCGTATTCGGAAATTTTGAGCATAACAATTCTGTAATTGAAAATTATCTCCTCCATTTTTCCTATTACTTTACCTTCGACAGGCTGCGTACGAAAGATTGACCATAGAAAGCCTCCAAGATCCACTTTTATTCCCTATACGCTCCTCAAGTAGAGAGCCAAAGCCAAGTCTTTTATACTCTTTACAATACGGGGTTAAATTCAAGTTTTCAATAACTGGCGCATTTCGTACCACAAAAGATCCATCAACCTTAACAGAATATATATAACCAATAACATTGCAGAAAAGCTAACAATAAAGAAACTAATGGTAGGTAATGGTAAGTAAATGTTAGTAATGGTAGGTAAGGGTAGACAATGGTAAAAATGGTAACTGTAATGGTAAATAATGGTAATTTTATATGGCAAGGGTCACTTCCGGCTAAATGGCGCGCTTTGATTGGCTCAGAAACATTTTTGTCGGTTCATTATTTTCCCGTAATCGACCACGGTCCAAAATGCTTAATTTTACAGTCAAAATTAAACAAACTTCGTAAAGCAAACATCAAAACGCAAACTAAACCAAACAAAAAAACATTTACGAATGTGATTCGAAGGAAAAACACTTGGAAAACAGTTAAACTATCCAGACGATACAATTTGAAACGATTTATTTTTTATGGACGAAAACTAGAAAAGTGAAAATCAATTTGTAAAAACATCAAGGACGAGAAAGAAATCAAGCTTCGTTTTAGGTTAAATAATGACATATAATAATCCTTTTAATAACCTCGCTTTCTTGGTCTTTACTGAGAAATAAAGGATGCGCTTAGCATAGTATGAAGCATTTTCATATAACTCAATGCTGGTGAGGCACCGCAGTATGGTGGAAAGATTTTCATTTGCAATCAAGACAACAGAACAAACATTGTAAAGACAATTTCCATCAGCCAATGTACTAAAACAAGTTGAGTAGAAAATATTACTATATAGTTATATAGTTGAGGTACATAAATTATTTTTTTAATGTTAGAGAATGATCATGTCCAAAGCAAAGAGCTTCAGCTATACAACAAATTAGCAAGCTTAATGTTATGTATTGAGAAAGAGGCTCATTATTTATTTATCTATAGGGTACAGAGCAGCCAGCTTGGAGAATTAGTTGCAATTTTACGGCAAACTTTATAAATTGAGAAGGATAATTATTATTTATATAACAATAGGGTACAAAGCAAACATCTTAGAGAACGAAATTGCAGTTTTATATAAAATTCTAAGAACTGAGGAGGTGGCTTATTTGTAAAACTATATGGTCAAAGCAACCAAATTTCAGGAATGCAGTTCCAGTGTAATGGCAAGCATTAAAAATTGAGAAGTAGGATAATTATTTATATACATCTTTTGGTACAAAGCAAACATTGTCAGGGACACAGCTGCATTCTTATAGCAAGCTTTAAAGGGGTTATATCACGAATTTTAGCCCCCCTTTTTTATTAGCTAAATTGAAAGACCTTATTTCAGTGATTTTAAATCTGCAATTATAATTGAAATTGGATTGGTGAAAGTGATTTTATGGACGTTCAAAGTCACGATTTTCAGCATTTTTTTTGCGAACTTTTTGATCGGTATGCTAATGAGTTGTGACGTAGATAGTTGAACACATATATCAACATGGCGTATTCTACTAGTAATCTTAATAAGAAACGCGGAGGAAAACGCTGTGTTGCTGGCGGACCTAATCAAATTAGTTGCGCCAATGATTCAAAAACAGAAGGAATGTCGATGCATCTGTTTCCTAATAAAGAAACAGAGCCGCAAAGACATAGAAAATGGGTAAATTTTGTGCGTAGACATAGACCGGGTTTTGAGGCTTCCTCTACCTCGTGTCTGTGTTCTGCGCATTTTGAAGATTCTTGTTTTGACCTTAATTTGAGCGTGCAAGTCAAGCTCAAAAGAAGGTTGAAGAAAGCTATCCCAACCATTGACGTGGCTGGGATTCCTGAACCATTACAGGACGAAATAACCGATCGAAAGCGCAGACAAGTAAGTTTACGCTTGTTTATGTTAATTTTTCTTTTGTCATATGTAAATTCGATATATGTTTTGTAGATTATTCGACATACTCTCCATAAGCCATCGCTGAAGGAAACATGTTCTCTCGATGAGGAAGTACCATCTACTAGTGATGGAGCTGAGCATGTTGAAGTATGCACTGGGGAAGCAAACGATTCGCCATTTGAAGAAGAACTACATGCAGTTGGTGAAGATATTTGTGAATCCCAGTCTCCATGTAAATCGTGCCATCGTCTTAAGAAAAACTTACATCTTTACAAAAGACTTTAAGCTGGTATAAAAGACAAAAGCATCTTTGAAGAAAAGGCCCAGAAGTTGCAAAATGATCTGCATTTTTTCCTTAGTGGAACAGCAAAGACAGCAGTTACAAGACCTAACAGATGATGCAGATCAAATATTAAATAGCTCTGGGAATAAAAGTACTGCAAATGTACTAAATGCAAAGCTCCAATGAAAGGACATCCTCGAGGTCAATGCTTCACTGAAAAAGAATAAATTGAAGTTGGTAGATGATAGGGCAGTGGTCAGACATTGCTTGGAGCCTGTCTGGAATGGAGAAGTAAGGCACCTCCTTCCCACCACCAGCCTGAGAGTTCACCTTAGGCAAGTGATAGTACCCTCTAGCCTCCCTATCTGGGCACTGATATACACACCTTTCCTGATGATTACAGTATTAATATAACATTGAATGGTATGTATACTTGTCAGATTGAAGATGACTATCTCACTCGATTGTGCAACTAATTAATTTTCATGAATAATTTTTTTTATTGTAGTTTAATGCTCAACATGCCCTTTGTGGATGCAGTGCACTCAAGTGTGAAGACCTTATAAGATAAGTTCATGTGGCTTGCTATTTTCCATTTTTACATTTATGCTATGATTTAATTCCATATAATTTTTCTTTTTTTTTCCCAGACTGACATTGAAGAAAAGATTTTCTTTACCGTATAGTGCATCCATGTATCTCCTATTTGGTTTTCATCTAGGCATATTTCCTGACCATTCTAAACTCAGCAAAGAAGGCCAACAGTCTCTACAGTGCACAAGTTAAAAGACCTTTCCATCATCGCCCCTCTGATGGTATGTAACCTTTTGTGTTACCACTTGGATATGCTTTCCGAATAAAGTGGTAAACACAAGCAGGTAAAGGCCGAGTATTCTCCCATCCCATAGACCCACAAAACCATCGCATCAACCATCTGTATGCCACAGCTCTCAAGTACCTGAAGTAAATAAAAAGGTTGGACTAATTATTGTTGATGAAACAATGTTGATGATAACATTCTTTCTCATACAATTTACAATCTTACATATTTAATGATTGTGATGCTTGGCGGCGATAAGCACGTCCATTCCTATCTCTCAATAGTGGCCCAACGTTTTCAAGGACAGCCTCATGAACTAAAGGCCCAAATTTGGCATGCTGTGTTATGCATGATATTTTCTCAATGCTGCCATCGAATGTCATTTTCTGCAAAGCTGGTCCTATTTCCTTACAGCATCTGTACTCTAATGCGCCTTCTAACAAATCGGTATGACAGCATTGACAATTACACCTGAAACGTGGGAGCATTGTGGTTTATAAAGTAACTTTATGTATATTACAAACAGGAGAAAACAACAACTTACCATTCACCGAGTGGAATTACGCCATCACTTCGTTGTTCTAAGGTCGCAGGAGAATTCCATCGGGATCATCTGGAGTATGCACTTCATCACCATCTCCTGCGAGCGGTTCATCGTCATATGCGAAGTCGTTTAAATGCTCGACATAACCCACGGATTCCGAGCTCGAATCAGATACGCATTCAGACATCGAATTCGAATTATCTGAGCACTGATTTGAAGCCATACTTTCCGGACAACTTGTTTTTTAATATTTTATTGAAAATACTGTCATTATTTGTTTTTAAGACAAGAAAAACGACAACAAAATCACCTCCTATAATATAATATTATATTGACGGAAACAGACGTGTTCAACTATCTACGTCACAAGTATCAATATGGCGTCGTAAAAAATTCGCAAAAAGTACCCGACTTTGGAGGCAAAATTAAGGAACTTATATTTATCTGTTTAAGTCCAGCGACATGTCATAGTTCTTCAAATAATCCAAATTTTCAATTAAGCTAATAAAAAAGGGGGGCTAAAATTCGTGATATAACCCCTTTAATAATTGAGGAGGTGGCTTATTTGTACATATATCTAAACGGTAATGTTACAAAATAACCAGCTTTTGGGAATAAAGAACTTTGTCTTTTTATAGCAAGCTTAAGTATTGAGAAAGAGACTTACTATTTATATGATCTATATGGCACAAAGCAACCAGTGTGTTTCGAAAATACAGTTGCAGTGTTATAGCAGGCATTAAAAATTGAGAAGTAGCATTATTTTATACGCATTTATATCAATAGGGTACAAAGCAAACAGCTTCAACAAAAAAGCTGTAGTGTTATAGCAAGGTTTAATAATTAAGGAGATCACTTATTTTCAATGAAAATACGAGGTCATTTTAATGAACTTTGAGTGACTGACCACCATATTAATTCCATTTGATACATACAACATTTAGGGCCATAAGCATAATTGAGTGATTTTTATCATCTATAGCAAGTAACTACGTCAGAATCTTACCTTACTGATGCACAAAGCACTATATGGCATTCTGACTCTGCGGAAAAGGCAATTCTGAAAATTCACAAGATCATACTCGTCGTTGTTATTCCAATTTTGCTTGTTCAAGCTCTTTGCTCTTGCACCAAAAAGCGTTCACAAGTTTCTTCAGCTTAAAAATCTCGATGGAAATACCTTCTTGAATATTCAAACAACTGAAACTTCGACTTAGTATAGCGCAGAATATTAATACTCGCAGTGTAAGAGACCATGGTAGATATAATAATTATCAATCACTGTTATCAATATCTTGCCGTGTGGTTGCCGGCTTAGAATTGCGCCAACGTATCCTCTGCGTGTCCTAAAAGACGACTAAAAGGGGTTGGTGTAAGGAAGGGCATCCTACCGTAAAACTTTTGTTCCAACAAAATTCATGAACTTTGGAAAAGAAGATATGGCCCCCAGTCCCCGGCAGCCCTTCAGTGGGCAGGGGGTGCGAAGAATCTCCGGATCGAATGTTGGTGGAAGTGTCACCCTTCGGATAGGCACAGTGAACGTTGGGACAATGAAGGGAAGGAGTGCAGAAGTGGCGGACATGTTGAAGAGAAGGAAAGTTGATGTGTGTGGGTTTCAGGAGGTAAGGTTTAAAGGTGAAGGTACGAGAGTCATAAAGGGTGAAGATATTGGAGCGAGATTTAAGTGGTTTTGGAAGGGAAACGGAAGTGGCACGAATGGTGTTGGCTTTGCGATAAGAGAGGATTGGGCGAAGTCGGTTGTAGCAGTGAAGAGAGTTTCGGACAGAGTCCTGAGAGTTGATGTAGTTATTGAGGCCGAAGTTGTGAGTTTCGTTGTGGTGTATGCTCCGCAGGTTGGACGAAGTGCGGAGGAGAAGGAAAAGTTCTACGACAGCGTGTATGCAGTGAGCAGACATTAGAGGGTGATGCTTGGTGATTGGAACGGTCATGTGGGAAGCGTAAGAATTGGATACTGTGCGCATGGAGGTTTTGGAGTTGGTGATATGAATTCTGAAGGCGAGGCGATATTGGAGTTAGCAGCGAGTTGTGGGATGGTGGTAGTGAATACGTGGTTTATAAAGGAAAAGCAAGCTGTGACGTATGAATCTGGTGACAGTAGGACGGTGGTGGATTATATACTGGTGAATGAAGAGAGGAAAATGTGAAGGATACAAAAGTGATTGCAGGAGAAGAATGTGATCCAGCACAAGCTGCTGGTCATGGACTGGAGAATCAGGAGGTGAAGAGGAGAAAGGTTGAGTTAAAGGCAGGCTTAAGCTGATTACGATCAAATGAAGGAAAGCAGTGTTTTCGTGACGAAATTACGACATTGAATGAGGGTGAGACGGTGGAGGAGCGATGGACGTGCTGGAGAAGGGTGTTTTAAAGGCAGCGGAGAAGGTATGTTGTAGAAGTAAAGGCGGTGTAGTAGAAGAACAGGCATGGTGGGATCAACGAGTCAGCGAAGTGATTGGCGAAGAAGTTGGCATTTAAAAGGTGGAGAAAGTCGCGGACTGAAGCAGATGGATCGATTACATCCGATTCAAGAAAAAGGCGCGAAAGGAGGTGGCTAAAGCGAAAAATCAGGAAGAATGCGGATGAAAAGCGTTGTTTAGAACTGCTAGAAGAAGAAGGAGAGGAACGATAGGTGCTCCGGCGTGCAGAACCGATGGGGAGTTGAAGGTGTTGGAAGACAGGTTAGAAGTGTGGAGGGTACTGTGATCGTTTGATGAATGTAGAGAATGAGGTGGAATGGAGAAGTTGAAGCGGATGAAGTTTTGGGCCGTGAAATAGTGACTGTTGATGAGGTGGTGGCGGCTCTGCGCAAGATGAAGAAAGGAAAGGCGACGGGACCGAGTGAAGTGGTGCGAAATGTTGGACAATGTTATGTAAAGAGTTTTGAAAGGGCTCAAAGATGCCGAGAACATTGAAAGGCTGTACAAAGGAAAAGGAGCAGCGACGGTATGTGGGAATTACAGGACTATTAAGCTGATGGAGCATGCGTTGAAGATAGTAGAGAGAGTGTTTGAAAGAAGGTTGAGGGAAGTTGTTCGGATGGGGGAAGAGCAGTATGGATTCATACCGGGGAGAGGAACGACGGATGCGTGTTTTGTGTTGAGGCAGCTGCAGGAGAAATTTTTGTAGAAGGACAGAGAATTGTATATTGTGTTTGTAGATTTGGAGAAGGCGTTTGATAGAGTTCCGAGAAAGGAGATCGAATATGCGCTGCGTAAGAAAGGTGTGACAGAGAATATGGTTCGGGCAGTTATGGAGACTTATGAAGTTGTAGAGGCGGTGGTTACGGAGGAAGGTGTTAGATCTGGTGTTTTTGAGGTAAAAGTTGGTGTTCATCAAGGTTCAGTCTTGTCGCCGTTACTGTTTGCTTGTGTGATGGATGTACTGACAGAGGAAGTGAGAAGAAAAGAAGGATGCTGGTGTTTGTTGTATGCAGATGACATTGTCTTGGTGGCGGAGTCGAAGCAGAAAGTCATGGAATGGTACCGAGAATGGAAAACGGCAATAGAAGTCAAGGGACTGAAAGAGAATGAGGCAAAGACGAAGGGCATGAGACGCTCGAGGCAGATGGAGGTGAAGGACAGTGATAAATGGCCATGTGGTGTGTGTGGGAAAAGAGTTGGAGTGAATTGGATAATGTGTGGGAAATGCAGTAAGTGGGTTCATGGAAGATGTTCAGGTGTCCGTGGTGCATTGACAAGAGTAACTGATTTTGAGTGCGGGACGTGTCGAAGTGGTGGGCGAGTCGCGATTGAACGGTTTGAACTGGGTGACGTGAGTTTGGAAGGTGTATCGGAGTTTAAATATCTGGGTGATGTGTTAAATGATGGTGGAGGTGCGAGCAAGCGGTGAGGAACAGAGTTCAAGCAGCGTGGTGGAGTTTAGAGAGTTGTCGGGAATGTTGTGCGGAAAGTCGACTTCGTTGAAGCAGAAGGAGAATTGTATAAGGCATGTGTTAGAAGTGTTTTGGATATGGAGCAGAGTGTTGGGCGCCGAAAGCAGAGGACCTGAGAAGATTGGCGTCGACGGAAAGGAGAATGCTTAGGATGATGTGTGGTGTAACGTTGATGGATAGGATTCGAAGTGAAGAGATTAGAGAAAGAGTTGGTGTTGAGTGTATCGAGAATTGGGTAAGGCGCCAGCGTTTGAGGTGGTTTGGGCATGTGGAAAGGAGGGAAGAAAGTGCTGAAATTCGTAGAACGTTGCATATGAATGTTGATGGAGTCCGCAAACGAGGTAGACCGAGAAAGAGATGGATGGATGCTGTGAACAGTGATATGAAGGCGATTGGTATAACGAGAGATATGGCGAGAGATAGAGACGTGTGGCGTGGAAAAATCCATGGACCGGTAAACCCCCCTGGCGGGGATTAATACTGGCCGGTATATAAATGTTGTTTGTTGTGTTGTTTGTTGTGTTGTTTGTTGTTATCAATATCGTTGATTTTGGCAAGTTGTTTTCCCATCTGCAACGATGTCACAGTCATTGCGCAACAAAATTATGGCTATGGTGTCGATCCAGATCTCATGGTGTCGCTCACACAAAATGCTTGCGCTGTGATTGGCTTGACACTTGACACCCTTCCACGATTTCAAAAGATAGCAAATTGCGCAACATTCCAACCACCGCCCATTCAGATATTATTTGTGACAAAATTTGTACAAAAACTAACAAGGAAAACCAAGGCGTGGGGACTAAGCTTAGCTGGTCTGGCAGGGCCTGGCCGCTATGCCACACAATAAATCTTATCCAACAGAAAAAAATATGGAAAAACAAACACAAAAAAGAAATTGTGGTACAGTTTGAAGTGCAACATGAATTCAAAACAATTTATTAAAATTGAGCACGGAAAAGGCAGATATTCTTGTATAGAAGACCAAGACAAAGCAAGCAGTTGACACGGTGACACGTTAGCTCACAGAGCTGAGCTTATAGATGACTTTGATACTCAGACTAAAGCCTCATTTCCACCTATCGCATGAATCAACTCGCAGCTCGCTGCGATAACTCGCAAACTCGCGACTAGTATTTTTTATGACCTCGCAGATAGTTCAGATTTTTCAACTATTTTTTTCTCGCAGCTATTTGAAATAAAAATTCACCAATGAAAGAAAGGCTACTGATCCCGTGGCATCGTTTTTTAGCATTATGTTATTTTCCCCATTTTTTTCAAAAAACAAACTACAAAATGTCGGATAGACAAGAACGAAACGAAAGATGGAGCGATAAAAAGATCGAACTTTTAATCGAAACTGTAAGAAAATGCATGGCAATGTGTGGCAAACGAAGTTGAACTACCAGGTCAGTCCGAAAACTCTGAAAAATGCTAAATAACAGTATAATTTTTAATTATTTTTCTATTTTGTCTTCAAAGTTTCATCATGTCGAGCGAAAGGGAAAGGATTAAGAGATACTTTTTCAGAAAATGTAAGAAATCAGAATTTATCTTCTGGTTCTGGAACAGGAAAAGAAATAAGATGGAAATGGTTTAGAAGCATGGATTTCATCAGGGAAACCATATTGCACAGAGCCACTTCAAGCAACCTCAGTTGCAACCAAAGCAGTGAAAAACTTCATGAAATTGATGAGGAAGATATTGTTACGAGTGATTCAAATGAAATTGAGCAACACAGCATTGGAGCACTAACATCAACTCCAACTACAGAGAAAAACAAGAGAGGGTTGGAGTTAAGTCCAGTTGGAAGAAAAAAATTAAAGCACTCCCCCATAAAAAGAAAAACTTCTGAGGATCGAAAAATTGACCTAGAAATATTAAAAATTTTGAAAGCAGATGAAAAGAATGGCAATGCCAGTGGAAACCAAGGCAATTCAGTAGAGGATGATGGTATGGCATATGGTAAATATGTTGGAGTCACATTAAGCAAGTTTGATAATTATCACAAATCATTAGCCAAAATGAAGATAGCACAAGTTTTGTTTGAGGTGGAATCCAGTTTGATAAATTTTTCACAAGTCCTTGACCAAAAAGACAAAGAATAAATCAACTATATCATAAACTGTCTTAAAACATTGTTATAAAGTTGAATTTCTTTGTAAATGATTATGTAATTGTAAAGGAGAGCTGTTTTACTGTTTGCACATGTTATATTCTATATATTTGCTTTCAGCTTTGGTTTTAAGAAACAAGACAGGATTTTTTCCCAAACTATATTAACATAAGCTACATCTAATTTAATAAAATTTACTTAAAATGTCATTTGCTTTAGAGAAAAAAACTGAGTTTACATTAGCAATAGTTAAACTTGTAAGAATGAAAAATACCCATGCAAAGAGGAAAAGAAAGTTGAAAGAATAAATCAAAGTCATTCAAGGTTCCCATTAAAAGATATATGATTTTGCCGCCATGGAACTTCACCCTCTGGTTTTATGAAATACTCTTTAAATTGATCTCGTACTTCTGAGGCATCTTTCTTATAAAAATTTCAGCCTTGTCTCCCAATTGACTTTAAGCCTTGTGCATTCTCCACAGAGGCTCTCCATGAGCCCAATAAAATTTTTCCATTTCTAAAATAAAGGGATAAAAATAATAATTCTCTTGCAAATGAAATCTCTTCTCAAATCTGTCTAAGAAGTCAAGAATATTTCACATCAGTTTGAGTTCATCAAAATTGTTTCATTACAATTTTTGAAATATGGTATTCTTGAAAAAAATTAAGAAATCTAATCATACCTGTCCTCACTGTCCACAAAACCATGGGGTAAATACTGTCTAGAACATGCTGGTTGTTTTGCCTCCGTCTTTATCAGGAAATTATGAAGTGCAACTACAGCGATGGTAATCCTCTCAACTTTCATAGGTTTGCCAATAATTTCTCTTCTCAATATTCGAAATCTTGAGGCAGCAATGCCAAATGCATTTTCAACAACACTTCTGGCCCTGGAAATGCGATAGTTGAAAATTTGCTCATGTTGTGGTAGAAATTTGCCAGGGTAGGGACGTATCAGATTTTTCATCAATGGAAATGCTTCATCACCAACAAAGACAAAAGGAAAAGTACTCATTCTATTACTTATGCAGCATGGTTCAGGAAGTTGAAGAGAATTTGACAGCAACCCAATACCTAATTTAGAATTCTGAAACACACCTCCATCACTATGACGACCATTATCGCCAATGTCAACTAATATGAATGAATAGTCTGCTGCAGCAATAGCCATGAGAACAATGCTATGCCAGTATTTATAATTATAGTACAAACTCCCTGATCCTGCTGGTGCTTGTATTTTTATGTGCTTGCCATCAATGGCCCCACAACAATTAGGGAAGTTCCAGATTCTTTTGAATTCATCAGCTATTTTTAACCTCTCATACGGTGAACTGGGAGCTTTCAAATATCCTTTTGACAAAAGAGCATTCCAAATTGCCAAACAGGTATTCGAAATAATTCTGTGTACAGTTGTCACTCCTATTCTATAACTGAAAGACAAACTTCGTGGACTGTCTCCTGATGCTAAATAGCGAAGTGTCAACGCTAATCGTTCTTTTGAACTAATGACATCACGACTTTTATGGCTCTTTTGAATAAGGGAGCCTACAAGGCCATGTAAGTAATCGAATTGATCAGGTGACATCCTAAAATAGTGGAAATAACCTTCGTGGTCTCCATCTCGTAATTCCTTCACTGAAGTGAAAAATTCGCTATGTTGAGATCTCTTTTGGAATATTGGCCTGATCCAAAAACGTTTGCGGTATTTTTCACGCTGTCCTCTTCGACTTCGCAAATAGAGTAAAAGAACTATTTGCTTTCTAGTCAAAGGACTCATTCTTCACTCCTTAAGCATCCGCCATATTTTTTTCTTAGCTCGCTGAAAAACAGTTATCAAACAACGAGTACTCGAAACAGACATGAACAATTGCGAGTTCTCGCAGCGAGCTGCGAGTTGATTCGTGCGATAGGTGGAAATGAGGCTTAAGCTTGTTTACAGTTTGCTGGCAGACAGATTTTTCCCAAGGGAGGTTAACAATTGTTTCCTGTGTTGTCTAAAAGCACTCGATTAAACTTGCCTCTTAGCAACACGTAAACAAATCACATCATCTATAAAATAATGTTGGTATCATTTACACACAGATATATCTATCTTTATGACCCTGATTTGTTAGAAATTTATTTTTAATGGCCAGTAAAAAAGGATGTTCTTCTACTGCACTTTGATTGTTATACTAAAACATGTTTAATCTTGTGACCCTTGTCTATTTCAAATTTTCACCCTATTGCTAGGGTTGGTTAAAATAAAACAAATTTTGTACTTATTTAACCAAATCTCTTTTAGTGACGAAAAATTAAGTTTAGGATGCAAAAACACGTATCATGCACTATTTTTACGATGTTTTTGTAATAGGTAAGAAAGTTGCTTAAATATGCACAAAATTTTTCTTTTTTTACCACACTCCGTTTTAGCGACGAAAAATTGAGTTTAGGATGCAAAAATATGTTTTATGTACTAAGTCTACGAAATTTTTGCGATTAAAAAGAGAGTTGGTTAAATAGGAAAAAATTTGTCGTTTTTTAACAAACCTCCTTTTAGTAAAGAAAAACTGAGTTAAAATGCATAAACATATATCATGCACTATTTTTGCCATGTTTATGTAATTAAAAAGAGAGCTGGTTAAATATGTACAAAATTTCTCGTTTTTTAACCAACCCCCTTTTAGTGAAGAAAAACTGTGTTTAAGATGAAAAAACATGTATTATGTACTATTTCTATGATATATTTGCGATTGAAACGATTGCTGGTTAAATATGTACAAAATTTGCTTTATTTTAATTAACTCCGTTTTAGTGAAGAAGAACTGAGTTTAAGATGTAAAAACATGTATCGTGCACTATTTTTGCGATATTTTTGTAGCTAATTGAAACGCAAAACAATCTTCAAATTCGAAGGACGATTCCTTCACTTTCTTTCCTTGATCTATGTCTACTTTTAAAGCCATTTTCGTTTTAGTAAGACAAAAATTACCAAATAACTTTAACTCAATAAAATTGTAACGTGTTCTCCTTTTTTATATTTGCAAAAGAAACAAGAAAACGGATCTAATATTGCTTTAAGAATAGAAAACAATTGACAATTTTAATTAAGTTTTATCGTGTTTCAATTAATCATGTCATCCAGTAGCAAACTTTCGCTCATTTTATGTCGTTTCCAGTTTACACGCGCGCGCCCTGTTTACTTCCTAGGACTGGAAACTAATTGACACGGGTAAGAGCTCCGTTTACTTCCGGGACCATACCTGCACCTTAACTACTTTAACATCGCTTATTTTGTTTTTTCGTATCTAGAACATACAATTGTCAAATTTTATCAAACTTTCTTAAGTGATTGTTTTTTATAATGTATAAAAAATGTGACTGATCATAAACTATTACTGTGCTCGTATGAAAAATATTCAAGTACTTAAATTTATATTAGGGGAAAGCAAATAAAAATATGATTTGCTTTACATAAGCCAGAGTATTTTTTCAGTTATTTGGGACTAAAGAAACCCTTCATTTTGGGCAGGCGTCAATGATAATGACAGTTGAATACTTTGCGACACAAATTGTAACGTGACGTAACAATTTATTGCAAAAATATTTATCATTCGGAAAATCTACTATAGTGTTTTCATCAGTCGCCAATTTGCTTTGAAAATTACATATAGTGAAATAAAATTTCTGCTAATTTCATGTACTGTTAAGCATCGATACTTTGATGTACTCCCCAAACTTGGGCTATTTGACGTCACATGCAAACGCTCCATAGAATTAACAAGCCTAGATTGTGTTATCAATTTCGTTAAATTTTGCTAAAATGTCAAAATATGCTCAAAATGTTCCCAAAAGTTTAAAAAGTTGCTCGCAATAAATTTTCTATTGTATTCTTGTTAGTATAAACAACTATGAAATTTCTTTAAAAATACGCCCGCTGATTGATCGAATGCTTGAAAAAAGTGCTTCTAAGGATTGTTGCACGTGACGTCAAAGCGGTCATAATGGGGGCATTGAAGTAAATACATGCAACGCTACCTAAAATAATTGGAGCCGTGGTTTTACCCCAGACACGCGTGTGTAATGTTTCGAGATTCTCACGGAGTGAAAATTGATTAGTTGAACAAGAAACTTGAAGAGAAAATCAAAAATAAAATCGAAAAAGACATTTTTTTGTTTGTCGTTGCATGTTTGTGTTGACGTTTGATCAATTTGACAAACAAATTCAGTTGCTTCCTTCTTTGCACTTATAATAACGTTCGTAATAATGTTGTTGTTTAAGCTCTATTGAAATAAACAAGATGAGTATTTTTAATGGTCATTTAATGTAAATAGATTATTGATCTGTTGAATTTCGTCTGTTTACAACTTCGTTTTTGATACAGAAACAGTAAAAAAATACGTAAACATGCTTGGAAAACAAACAATATCTACATAAAACATGTTTTTTGAAGCTACATATATTTATTAAATCGACGTTTGGCAGCCCGTGTAAAGAAAAATACATCAAAGATAACTAATCTTATATATAAATACCCCCCAAACAACTTCTCCTTTCTTGAAAAAAGACGTGCAATGAATAGTTTACCGTCTTTTCAACAACTTTTTGGTTGTCAATGCTTTTAATGCTCATAAAGAAGACGTTGATTGACTCTTGCCTAAATTCAACTATCTAACGAAATCTTGTCAAGTCTATCGCTTGTGTTGAGTCAAGAGAAATAAAGAAGAAAGCAATAGATCTTACCTGTCAATATGACCAAAAATATCTTTTTCGTGTTTTTTTTTTTTTGAAATAAAGGCCGATTTCTTGTTAATTTTCTCTTCGAGAAAAGCAACACTTCAATGTTTATCCTGTAATTGTCACCATGATTTTCACCACGTAATTCTGGAGTGAAATCCCGCGTGTCTGGGGTAAAATCATGTCTTTAAATAACTATTAGGGTCTCGTATTGCAGGCAGCGTTCCATTTATTTTAGTTCACTGTGTTAGGGAGAGAACATCAAAGTGCCGATGCTCAAAATTAACATAAGTTCTTTTCATTATAAGCGATTTTTCCAAAACATAGCGACTAATGAAAACACTCTATAGCTTTATAATGCACGGAATCTTTTCTAGAAAATCTAGCAGACTGCATGGTTTGCTCAGGAAATTTGAATGGTGAAAAAATAAACAAAACGTCATTTAAATGATGAATTTAATGACGAACATTTCTTTTCAATATATTTTTGAAAAGCCTATTTTCTAAAGAAAATACAAACAAAGAATATAACTTTTCATTCCAATATTTTTTTCCTGTGAAACAAAGTACCCGTTTTTTTCATTTTCAGAAGCTTGTGCTTTTATGCGAGGCCATGGAGTTCCAATTAATAGAATTATTTCTGATAAAAAAGCAATAATTTTGATTTGTTTAACGTTATAATTGGATAATCTATCGTTTTTGATCGTGGAGCTTACATGAAAAGAGACTTTAAAATAAACAAAAGAGAAATTATTAAAATTCTGGTTGGGCAAGAAGCACCTGTCAATACTCAAAGCCAAAGTGCAGGAGGAGGTGGAGGTTCTTTTGTTGTTAGGAGCAACAATGTACCACTACTGGTTGCTGGAGGTGGTGGCGGTATAGAAAAACTGAACAAACATTTAGATAACTGTGATGCGAGCACTAAAACATCTGGAAAAAATAATAAATGTGTCACACCTTGCAAAAATTGGGCTGGAGGAGTAAATGGGCAAGGAGCAAAGCAAGCTGATTCAGGAAATTCAGGTTGTAGCAGATTTTGAGTTTACGGTATTTAGGCTCACATTTTTAATAATTTGAATTCATTACGAGAAAAACTTTGTTGTTAAGGGATACTGATTTAATATTTATGAGCTCTAACCATTACACCAAGATTTACATGTTTGTAAACGTAGATCGTCCAGGTTGCTATAGTCCTGAGAAGGACTGTTTTTGTTGTTGTTGACTGAAATTTCGACAACCTTAGCGGTAGTCTTCTTCAGAGTCAAATGAGGAGTAAACGTCAGGTTAGCCGTATTTCTTATCTGGTTCTTACGTCATTGTATTGTGTCTACAGGAAATGTGTGGGTGTCAAATGTGTATTGTCATTGTGAATTAGTGCGCCTACTCAAATTTACACGGCCTGATATCTTGCAAGGCCAAAAATGCAAGGCCATTAAGGCATTCACGATTTCTAATTGATTTCGACTTCTACCACTTATATGCGAAATCGGATTGGAGTATATACTAGAGATCAAGTGCGTCAGAGACAAACAAGTCATTTGCATGCTGAAATTGAGACAAAAACTTGAGTTGAAAGTAGATGCCTTTTAAAAACGCAGTCTCGGTCAAAATAAATAAAATTACATCAATTGCCTTTGGAACGCTTGCCTTGCTTTAGTGCAACGAATCGGTCTTTGACAACAGTGTCTGTTCGCCTTTTCCTCTGATTGTTGAGGAAGACGTTACAAATAATTCTTATTTCCCGGTTATTGGCGATATCTTCGTGCTGTTCGCAGACGAACCCTTCGTTACACAAAACGGTTTTCAAAAGATCCTCCGCAACAAATCGCGATGGCAAGCTAAAGTCTTGAATAATGTTTGCTGCTGCATTCAGTACAGCAAATCCATGAGCAACAAAATTACCCAACGCAGCAGATGGTTCCTTCAATCCGCCACGAGAAAGTAACTGCACATATGGCGAAACACCATTATTGGTTAGTAGTTGCTCACAGCAACTATTGCAAAGCTTAATCAGCTTTTTTGCAATGTACCCAGCAACGTTATCAGAAATTTCCTTAGAAGCATCCGTCAAACATATTCTTATAGACTCAGATATGATTGGCTGCATGGAGTCTCTAAATTCTGCTACTTTTTCCGGTGATTTTTGATCGGTGACTTTGACCCCATCATCAATGTCCAGTCCTCCCTTCACAAGGCTTTTTATTTTTAGAATCTTTTCTGAGAATACCACATCTTTTAAGCCGACCAAAAAACGATCACCACTCATTTGGTGGTACTGACCATACCGTTTTTCCAATGGATCACTCTGGAAGCGCGAAGTCAGCACGTATGAATAAACCTCACTTAAAAGTTCTTCAATTAAAGCAGCATGGCAGCGAAGGTTGCATCGAAGCGCATGACTAGTTTGAGCAGTAAGATTGAATTTGTCGCAATTCGGCAATTTAAGGTTATCCCACTGTCTACAAAGGCTCTCAAGAATTCGGGTTTTTTGTCATTGAGAGCTGCAGCATTCCCAAGGCGATTAGAGGTGTTAAATCGGGATTTTGAATTTGAAATTGTCCACCAAATATCAACAAGGTGCAGGAAACTTGCAATGTCGTCGGCTTTGTCAGGAAAATAATGTCTTATGCCGGTAGCAGTTGAACGTGAAAAAATGGCTAAAGCTAGGGGTACATTCTGTTTACAATTTCCCGGCTGTAAAACCTTCGCACTAAGTTCAGGCGCTGCCCTTAATTTGCCTCAAGTTTATGATCTTTCTCGTACACCTCATGAAGTAACCGCCACGAAATAGGGTCATAAAACATAGTAAAAATTAGGAAAAAGAAACCTTTTGCGATTCAGCTAATTATTTCTGATGTTCTTCACCAGGTGAACAGAGTCGAAAAACAGATAGGTCTTCTGACTATTCAGTGTGATATACAGATCATCAACACAGGCGCCACACGCAGAGCGCAATTCCTTGTATGAATTGACGTTCGAAGAATGATCATCCGATACAATTCCTCTGACACGGAATCCATTTTCTTGACGTAGTTTCAAACAGGCTAAAAGCTCGTCTTTTAACCATTTCCCAGTTATTTGTTTCTTGGGAAGGGCTTTCACCACATATGGAATGTTACTTTTAACCCAACGATCATGAAACATACCACACCTTTATACCGCTCACCTTGTTCATCTGCGGCATATGATTCACCAGTAATGTACTCCTCGCACTTCTGAAGAAACATGTCATCCACTATCAGAATCACATCATCAGAAATACTGCCGTTGTCTTTAAGAAGGTTCGCAGCTTTCAATGCATCGATCTTCCCAGCTGTTATTCGCCGGAGGAGAGACACAGATGGCAATTTAAACTCTTCTTGCAGCAGTTTCTAAGTCTGTAGAGATGTATAACGTAACAAGAGGGCATACCGAATTATATTTGCTGAATACACAGGGCTCTTCTAATATTTCAACTTCCTTAACTCTTCCAAAACACCGCTAGAGGATAAGCTCTTTTGTTCAACATAGGCAGGAAAATTGTGGAGCATACTTTTACTCGTCAATTTACACTGACCTCTACGAAACCACTCGGGTAAAGGAAGCGGGGCACCTCGGTGGTAAAGGCATACGCGCAGATCAACATCCACTCGGATGCAAACTGTAACTTCAGGATCAGATTGTTCATTCTTTTCCTTTTTGAAAAAAATGGCATGGTCGTCATGGCGAGAAAACGAAAACTGGTGACCAAGTTCGTGGAGCAGTGAGTCGTTAATGTCACCAAAATCTTTCATTATATCAAAGTGCTTGAACTTGTCAAACTCATCTTCCTGAAAAACGTGTTGAGTCGGAGGTTTTCGAAGCTTTGGGATTGAAGGTTGCAGTGAAGGATGATCTTTCAGGCTCTCTGGATGGATGGTTGGAATTGGCTTCATTGACTTGATGAGGCGAGGATACTTGGTATTTTGCTGGATATACTTGTCCTCGAAGTGATGTTCGCATATAAACACGGATTTTAGTTCAGCGGTGTCATGAGCTACTCTGTTCAAGAACAAGCGCCATATCGGTTGCAGCTCCTCGTCTTTTGTAAACTCGAATACAGTCCCAATAGCATGTCCTTTGTATTTGGTGTAACACCCAGCAACGCTACATTTGTTTGGCATTCTGCACTGCAACTGACGAACAACTCAATCAAGATCTTATCACAAACACTCAACTAACCAAGAGAAATTCACTTTTTCAAATAAACAACTTCCTCAATAACAATCAATTCAGAAGAAAACAGGAAACGATTCATGAAAAACTTCCTGCCTGTCATGCTCTATTTTTAGATTTGAGGAGAAAACTTGATGACTCATTGAAAATTCAATGGCCTTGCATTTTTTTGCCTTGCTATGGCAAGATATCAGGCCGTGTAAATTTGAGTAGGCCATGGTGCGAAGTGAAATGTTTTTAGTTTTGATGTGTCGTTTATGTGTGATCTTTTTAGTTGTAATGTTTGGGTGTCAATTGTGTATTTTCATTGTGAATTAGTGTGAAGTGTAATGTTTTTAGTTAATCGTTTGTTTGAATTGTGAATAAGTCGTTTGTAAGGTGACGGTAATTGCTGTGATCTGTTCAGGGGGGTTTGTTCCAAGTTGGTATACCAACTTTCTAATGTAAGTCGTTGTCTATAGTCAGTACTGTAAGTAATGCATTTTGCCAAGTCCCAGTCAATGTTGTGCTTTGTGATTCGGTGATGTTCGGCAATGTGATTAGTATTTGTCGTAACGTTGTGATTGGTTTATGTGCGACACGTATGTTTTATGGTCGTAAGATACGCGAGATAGTCTCAGACGTACCTTTGATGTAAGGTATCGTTGCTGTTGTCACTGAGTTATTCGTTTCGTTGGGCTCGCTGGGTTTGTAAGTGTTGCGTTTGATAAAGTCAGAGTTATAGTTTTTGACAAAAACAACGCACATAAACCAATCACAACGTGTCGCACATAAACCAATCACAACGTTACGACAAGTACTAACGAACATAAAGGACAAAGAACTACCCAACGAACGACAAAGTGCAGTTTACCAAATAAACTGCTCCGATCATTTGACTCTGAAGATGACTACCGCTAAGTTTGTCAAAACGTCACTCAACAACAACAAAAACAGTCCTTCTCATGACTATACCAACCTGGACGATATGCATTTACAAACATGTAACGATACTCCCGGGTTCAAACCATTTACTTTACACCAAGATTTATTATTATCGATAACAAACCTTTCCCATATAAATCATTCTAACCCTGTGATGCATTTTTTGTTTGCAATCAAATCAGAAGTAAAACAGTATAAAATTTATAAATAATTTTCGTGATGTTTATTAGGTGGTGGTGGAGGGGGATTTTACAGCAATGGAAGAAGTAGTAAACAGTTTGGTGGTAAGTATGGAAATGGAGGAGAAGGAGGTTTTGCTTTTATAATTGGACGAGCAGGAGGACGTGCCAGAACTAACAATGCCGTTGGTGGATTCGGAGGTGGTGGTGGAGCATATGGTAATGGTGGAGGAGCAGGTGGAGGAGGTGGTTACTCAGGTGGAGCATCGGGAGAAAATGTGTCCGGATCTTGTGGTGGTGGAGGTGGATCTTATAATGCAGGAAAAAATCAAGTGAACAAGTCAGCATTTAATGACAAAGGAGACGGATATGTCATTATCACTCGAAAGAGATAGATTAAATCATCTTAAAGTTTGTGTTTCTTGGAAAAACCTTTTAGTATCTCGTTGTATAGTTTAGAACTGTTCAAAACAACATTTTTCAAAATAATTGTTTGCCTATCTGTTAAGACACAAATTGTGGTAGTCAACGTGAATCAGCACAATATTTACCTATATCTATAAATACGAGTAAAATTTTACGTATTGACAACATTGTTGTCAAACTACATTTTTTATGTAATAAGACTTCATAGTTGCATCAGGGGTATTTTTTTCAGGGGCATTTTTTTCATAGTTGCATCAGGGGCATTTTTTTTCTTCAGTGCCATAGCCTAAATTTTGATTGTGATCCTACTCTTTGAATAAATATTTTCAAACCATAGCTGGTTATAAAAATCAAGCCTGTTTTTCTGTCTATATTTTGGATAATGTCAATTAGGAAATTTATGATATTCTCTGAGTCATTCAGTTTTTGAAAAACACAATTGCGTAAGAACTTTTAAGAAAACATAGGTACGAGTGCGTACATCTGGATAGCCCTGCCCTTATTTCACTTTAAATGGTATGTTTCATACCTTATAATTTGATAACATAAGAAGTGAACTTCAAAATGCTCTTTATCGCTCTGCATCTACCCAATTTATTCCTATTTAAATCATAATTTATTTATACTGAAAATATAAACAAATGTTCAACTATTTTGAATATTTTTCTATTACAACATGGTGTATGTACAGTTGACAAAATGATACAGGTACTGTATTAAGCAGTCCCTTTGCGTTAAGCCATCACCTGCTATTGCCTCAGAAATTTCATAATACATTTATCGCAAGAGAAACCTTTATATATTGAAGGGTTAAATTAAATACAGCACGTTCATGCACTTAGTCTGAGTTAGGTTAGTTGTAAAAAAAAGTAGTTAGTGCTAGCTGTAGTTAAAAGATAGTTGAAGTTAGCTAGTTAGCATCGCTAACTTTACGAAGCACAGTTAAATATGGCGGCGTTGCTTACGAAATATATTAATGGACAAGATGTTGTTGATTAACAAGGTTTTTCATATGGTTATTTTCCATCTTCCGTGACAAAGGCTTTTTACAATAAGAGCTTTGAGGGCGGTATACATTTTTCGTTGCTGTATACATCACAAGTACTTGTTAAGCTCATAATTTCATTGCTAACTTGTTAGGAATTGAATTATTATGAGCTCTCACCATATATATATCTTATATATCTTTTTGTTTTCTCACAACATTCCGCATCTTCCAAAATCTTCTGCGTATGAGGTGACTGACATTCCAAAATAACATTTTTTTTTATATAAATTCATAGTACCCCGACATCAAGTTACTAGCCTGAAAAATGGCGGATTTAACGATTGCGTAAAGAAAATATGCCAAGCATTACACCCGCTAGTTACCCTTCTTTGTATTTCTTTTATATCCAGGGATGCCGGAACTGGGGGGGAAAAGGGGGCAACGCCCCCCCTTGCCATTTCTGGAGATGGGCAGGGGGGGCAAAAGTGCCCTACAGGTTGAAAATTTATTGTTTTTAATCCAAGATAAAGACTACTTAACCGTTGTGGGATATTGCATTCTTTTGATCTTAGCATTAAAATTGTTGTAACTATGTTAGTTTCACTTTAACATTTCTTTGTTTTAAGTAGGTTTTGTAAGTTCTTTGTTTGTTTAGTTAATTCTTCTTTTTTGTTGCAACGCGTGAGAACTTGAAACCCAATGAAACAGTGAGTACTGCTAATGACGTAAAGGAAAGCTCGAATTATGTAATTACCGATAGTATAAATAACATGTAAATAATTAACTATAATAGATAGCGTAAGAATACTCCAGTGATGTACTTGTAGATTGTTTGGCTTGTAAAATAAAAGTTGCAAAAGGAAGAGTGTTAATGAACCAGCTGAGGAGCGGTTCCTCGACAACCGTGAAATGTCATTTTTTAAATGTAAACAACTAAAAATCACAATACGTTTGCAAATTCCTTTCATTATAATCCAAATAGTGCCAGGAACATAACGTATAGCAAAGATATTTTTAATGGTAAACATCTGCTGGCATAAATGTCTTAGTCACCTAAACACTGATGACTTTGAAAGGGATATTTCTTGCATCTTATCGCTTTTTCTGCAATGCCAAGAGCAGAAAGATGTAAAAAAGATTCAGCAAATGCATTAGCGAAAGCAGCTGCTAAACCAGGTCAATCTAAAATAACATCGCTGTTTGCAAAAGGAAACACAGGCTATGATTTTGATTCTGCTTCAACAATTGACACTGTAATAACTGTCAACACTGAAAAAGCCTCAGACTGTGAGTCACAAAAATGGTCCAAACCGAAAAGTCTCATATAAATTATATCACCCGTATTCTAAAAGCCCACAGACACTTAATGAATGGGTCTTAAAAATCACTTCATAATTATTCGAAGACCGCAATTTCACTCAACTGATTGCTTGATTTTAAATCTTTAGGAGAAAATCTTGCCATAGATGGCGAAATGTCTTTGCTGATGATTAGATAGAGTGTGATGTCACTCTCAATATATGTGAAAGTGAGTGCGCTTTTAGAACACGGGCATAGAATTCTTCAAGAATTTTTATTGCCGAAATAAATATAAATCCCAGAGCATCGACGACATTTCCGTCAAGCAACTTCGTAAATATCTCAGGAATCATATTTCATTTCGGTCCAAAAGAAAAGGAACAACGGAAAATACAAAACAAATAAGTTCCTTCGTAAGAAAGGAATTGTCTACGTTGAGTTTTAAATCGTAAGCACTCGCCTACCATGAAGTATTTGATTCAAATCAAATATCTAATTTACACAATGTAATATATACAGCCATCTACAGAACTTATCGTTTAAATTCTCTCCTTTAAATTCAACAAATTCGTTAAGAGGAAATCTATTTGATAGAATTCTATAACTAGTGACAAACACTGCGCTTATTCACAAGAAACTATCGTCAATTATTGGTGTTAAGATTAATATAAACTCAAATCAATCCTTAGTTGATAACGATTATAAAAAATTACATATTAAAAAAAATATTAAATAGCCCACAATTTAAAAGCTGAGCGTATGTGTTTACGTGACAAAAAGATTGACAAAGGCTATATTTGTATAAACAACATGCACGATATTTTACCCCCTATATGTTTCAAATGCTTTTTAGCTTTGCCGTTTTTGTGAGCAAGATATTTTAAATTGCACTTTTAATTTACCTTAGGAGAATAATCATGTCAGTGTCTATAATTGGATGAGTTTAGATTAACTTCATTCGTTGATGTTGGCGTAAGCTAAATTTGACTTTTGAGGAAACCCCGCCTTCCTCCTGTTTCGCTGTTTTTCATTATTTTTTAAGTTCTTTCAATGACCTGCTTTAAAACAACAAAAACGCCTAAAATTTGTTTCAGCCGTTGATTGTTCTGGCAACGTTAAGTGTTTCCTTTAAGTCAACAACCTTTTACGGCATCCCCATAGGCGTCCTAGAAATCCGTTTGAGTTTTTTATACAATCGATTTATGTATTGAACACCAATTCTTATTCTTGTGCAATATGTTTGTTTAACTTCAATTTTTTATGGTCTTAGCAGTCTTATATTTTGACAAGGTAGAAAACTTTCAACACAAAATTACCGACCGTTAATTCAAACATTTTCAGAAAACCGTAAATATTCCATAGATAAATGAAAAAACATAGAAAACAACTGCTGCACAATAATAACGTTTGTTTTACTATATTTTTGCAGCTTTTTCAACATTAAAATTTGTTTCTATTGTATGAAAAACATCAATGTTTTACAGTTCGTAGCAAAATTTTTTCAAAACGCATATAATTCAGGTCCACTTAACTTGTTATTCGTTATGTTTTTGAATGTTCAAAGGCATCGCAGATTGGCAGCATTCAATTCACAAACTGTACTAGCCATGCATTCTGAAAACATGCGTAAGCAAACATACGTGCATGGTGTTAAACTAAATTGCGCGCGTGAGAAGCATTGAACGTGAATCAAAGAAAGTAATTAATATTTACGCAAATCGATTGCACATAAAAAAGTTTTCATGGCTACCTGTGGCACTCCTTTTTGCTGATATTTTATTGAACTTTCGACACGCAATATGACATATACCTGAGCCCAGAGTCTTAACTAGAAATTTAATTGGGGAGATGCATATCCATATATTCCGTTGTGCCCTACTGATTTCTTTTGAAAGTGAATTGAATTTTAAAAGAAATCAGTAGGGCACGACAGAACCCAGACTCTGAGCTCATCTATGGCAAATACAATTAAATTCTTGAATGTTTCAATGAAACTTTAGAAAGCATAAAACAGTGAGGCTACAGTGAAATTTACAAGAATCATCGACAGGGTATTTGAAATTCTTAATTCCAAATCTCCTCAGGCAAAGGGATACAAGCAACTTCTGAAAAGAAAATCTGAGGACACATGGGTGTGATGCAAAAAGAACCTAAAATGAAGAATGGACATGACATAAACTCAAGCAAAAACTCATGCAGTATAATAATCATGGAAGTCTGTCATCATTAGCGACAAATCAAGTCATTTAAACATCTTTGATGATCATACTCCTGAGTTGACCAATGACCCTGATGAAGACCACAAGATGAAATTGATTACGTACACTGCCGACAAGTACTTCACCCTTAGGCTTTTCAAGTACAGCAAACGTTTTAATGAAACCGTTATATTCAAAATGGACAACGGATTTACAGATTCCAGTTAACTAAATTGATATTGTTTACAAACCAACAAAATTTTATGAACTATTAATAAACATTACTTATCGACCGTGAACTGCATAGAATAGAGAATATATAGAAGGGCAACTGCAGGTGAAACGCGTGGCATATTTTCTTTGCGCATGCGTTAGGTCCGCCATTACTCTGGCCAGTAACTTGACGCTGGCGTACTTTAAAATAATATTGGAAAAGTGCGATTTTGGGATCATAATCGCCTAAAACGCAAACTGTTTTGGAAGA